GCTCTCATGCGCGGTGGTGAACCCATGGCCCTTGGTGTCAGCGAGGTGTTCCCCCATGCCATCTTCATCCACGCCAACCGTGCCTCCGAGCTCACGAAGGAGACTCTTGCGGGAGTGAACACGCTGCTCTTGGTTGATTCGGTGGTCAACAGCGGCAAGTCAATCAAGGGGTTCGTCGACCGTGTTCGGAGGTTGAAGCTGGAGATTCGCATCGTCATTGTGGCCGGTGTTGTTCAGGCCAAGGCCATCTCGGATGTCCTAGAGCCACTTGCTTGTAAAGGAGATCTCAGTCTCGTCGCACTTCGGTTGTCGGACAACAAGTTCCCTGGAATCGGAGGCACGGACACTGGCAACCGGCTATTCAACACTACACATTTAAATTGATATTCAGAGGGACTTTGTGTCAGGGTGGGAGGGCGGCAAGTTGCGGTGTTGGACTACGAGGCCCTGTAAGTGTGGGATAGATTTATGCCCTAGGGGCTCGTTGGACGCATAAAATATGTTGCTGGTCCTGCAGCTTTAGATTGGTACTTTATCAACACTGAGATGGACTTGAACTTGTAATATTTGCGTGATCCTGCCGAGTGAAGTGGTCAAAGGAAAATCGATCAATGAATATACTTATGACTGTGTATAAGCATCAGGAGGGATCGTCATGGGTCGGTGAAAGAGTACGCCACGAGCTCTTTACCAGTCGCGTCGAGGACCTGTTTCTGATTATACTTATTACCCTGATGTACAGCCGAGTTGAGTGGTTTGTGTGATACTAACCCATAGCAAGAGACTTTTGGTCAACTGATCGTATTTTGGTCAATCAATCATACAAATGCCATGTGTTCGATATCTAGCCTTGACAGCCTTATGTTGACTTAACAGCCAAGTCCTGAGAGGTTCCCGATGATTCTCCAGGGGCAAGTCTCAAATAAGTAGATGGATTGGGACGCTATGCCATAGACTACAAGAAGTTGAGATCTAGAACAGCGTTGAGGCTAGAATCTTCGTGTCCAAGCGGCTTTCACCTTGGTCTAAAAGATGTCTCTCTGCCATCCCGCTAAGGCAACATAATCCGCCGTCCCAAATTCAGTGATTGGGCTGAACGAGATCAACTGTAAAGGCGGGAGGCCATGATTGTAGCTTCTCCTCTTCGTCATGCGTATAGAATTCGGAGTTTAAGGGAGTTTAAGAAGGACACTGCCAGATTACTGCATCTATTTAGAGATTACACAATTCTCTATTCCTTCAGCCTTCAACAAAGGAAGGATTACCGGAGGCCGAAACAATACCACCATCCTCGACCTATCCTCCTAATACCTCAGTGGCACGAGTTTCGAGCACATGGGAATGGGTGCAGGTATGCTCATCAGGACTATAGATCTACATACGATCGGACCTCGTTCCGGGCAGCTTAAGAAGATGTACTCAGGTGTAAGCCAGCTACCATGCGGAAACTTCGAGGAGGCTTTCATACCTAACAAAAAAACCCAAGAGGTTACAAATGTTCTGCCAGAGGAAGTCGAGTTCTCAAAGTTGTTGACAGGACTTTAGGTAATCTCTACATTGTTTCTCTTCGCATGCGTCTGTTGCTGTATCTTGTTCGTTCACCTAGCATCGAGCCCCGAGATTCTGGTGTCTGGATCGACAATGGCACGAAACTCAAAAAATATTACACTGTCGCCGAAGACTACATGGATGGACGGGCCTGAGTTTGCCAAGGAGATCAAATCGTAGCCAATAAGACATGGCTTTGTCCATGGAGAGGTCGCGGAAGAGGCAGTGGTGGCCATCGGGGTTGAAGACGAGACTGAAGATATCTGAAAGAGAGGGCCTCACTCTTAGGCATCTTTCCAATAGCAGCCTTGTGTTACATTCTTGTGACGTTTATTGAAGATGGTAGCTCACAGTTGGCTATCAGACCAAAAGTGAGAAATGAATGACATGAAGAGTCAACTGCTTTCACCCGAGACCGCCTCCTTCTTCACTACTCTCAATTCAAGGGGGGCTCGACGCTACTGAATGGCAGCATCAACATGCGCGCCATCAGCAAGACGTCGGCGTCGTTCCTCAGAACTCTAAAGACGAAGCTGCAATATCTCTCGCGGATGAAGATTGCGGCTCTTCGCAGTCAAGGGCCTGACAGAGCCCCCGGCACAGGAGAGAGCTTGAGAAAGACCATGCTTCATGTTCATCTGCTAAATACAGAGTCTCCTCACCTTGCTCCGCAGGTTCAACATCGAGACCCTCATCAGCCTTGACGATAAACTCCCCTCGACACAACCCCCAGCATCACGATTTCCTAAGATAAGGAATGACGAAAGGAACTTACAGTTACACGTCCATAAGTCATCCATGAAACTCTACCAGCGAACTTCGTACTTCCCAAGAAGAAACAGACCGCATCAAAGCTCAACGGCGCCTCCGTCTGCAACTCTGCACCGCTCTGCTCGGGCCCGGAAGTGATCCCGCTCGAAACCATGGTCGAGAAATACCCGTGTTACCCGCCCGGCCCTCGGCAGTAACCATTCCTCCGCCCTTAATCTCCCCGGCCGAACAACAGCGCAGCAAGAAAAAAAAAGTCAAAACATTTTCTCCCCGGTCGGTAATTCCGCCGGCGTCGAAGGACTCAAAGTGAGGTGATGACAGGTGCGCACCGAAGCCCACGAGGTTTCCTGCCGCCGAGCATCACTTCCCCCTGATAGAATACTCTGCCTTCGTAGGTCGTCTTAGGCTCAAGCAGCTAGTGAACACTACCCATCTCTCCAATGATCGATACATAGGATGCTTTGGCTGTGTGATGTGGTTAATGTTAACCCGGAGCGATGACGATCCAGCAACTTTACAAGTTACTAGTCTGCCCGCCTGTGCGGGTATTGTCAGTCCGCAAGAGTCAAGACGTCTGTCTGACTCGCCATGATTTTCAACCCGTTCCCATACTGGCGTTCCCCACGTCGTACCATCTCCCCCATATCGCAAGGCGCAAAAAAGCCCACGATAAAGCAACCACACAATCATCCATCACAAGCACGAAAAAAACTAGCAGCGATGAAAGAGTAGCCTCACATAGAGATGATACGAAATCGTATCTGACCACCTTGGGAGGGAAAAACTCTATCTTCCCTCCCCGAGTCGGAGGATGCCTGCGATATCGCGACATGCAGACCAGCCGCAGGGTTCGCCTATCTCTATCAAACTTGACCAGGGGTGGAGGGCCCTACGCCGCGGTACAGATACAGACACAGATTTGAGATAGGATAGTCGCCTTCCAGGGCAAAGACGCTTCGACGTATCCGTAAAGACGCACAAAAGACGCCATCTGAAGTTCGTCCTTCGTGATCCATGGCCCATGGGTGTAAGAGAGACAGGGACGGGGACGTGATATCTCCCTCACAAGCTTTGTTCCAGAATGCGACGCTGTATCGCGCGCACACACACACACGCACTTGCACACGCACACGCACACGCGCGCGGCACAAACGCGAGGTATGGTATCTATATTCTAGAACACATGTTTTGAAAGTGCGCAAGTAAAGTGGTGTCGGCGAGTATCAGCCGGTCCAGCGTTTATCCCTCCAAGTTTTCCATCAACGGCAATTTGCAAACCAGACATCTTAGCCTAGTGCTCTTCAGGCTTCATCAACATTCAACTCAGATCTTCAAACGAAAGAGGAGACGACTTTCACACGGCACGTGGGGGTGGGGTCGTGCCCATCTGCCATGCCCATTCTGACTCTGGCTACTGCAGCAGCAGCAGCAGCAGCAGCAGCAGCAAGGACAGCCTGAGCCAGCCAGTCAAGCTGCAAGCAAAAGGCTCGGAAAAGGAATTGAATTCCTCTCTTATCGTTGGTCGTAGAGAGAAAAGGAACCCCTCCTAAACCCCAAACAGAAATGTACGTGAGTGAGACAAGAAATGGCCAAGAGACCTACAGCAGATCCGTCACAAACATCTCTGCCACTCCATGTTCTTCATCTGTGATCGCCTCTTCTGTGATCGCAAACTGGCTGGCTGTCGGAATTTCCGACCTGGGCTAAGGCGAAAACCCTCATGATGCTTGTCAAAAGGGCTGGATTTCCGAACACCTCACAACCCTGACCGCCTAGGTCTCGATCTTGATTCCTCACGACTCTCACCGGATCTTCCCAAAACTGAACTGAACCATAGCAAGTGCCATTCGCAAAGATGGGACAGTGAGGGGTAAACTCCCATTCGTCCACCGGCCGCGCCTACATAGTACAGTACTACAAAATGCTTGCTGCGCCGTTAGCTCACCCGCCTCCGGAGCTAGGACCAGAGACGAACATCGGCATCCAATGGTATCGTGGCCGGCGTTAGATTCCGTGGGCAGTGGTATTTGGATTTCCCCGTTGGGCTTCTTCTCTAGTGTCCTTGCCCGCCTCTCCAGTACTAAGTAGTGAACACCTATGGGACCATTCAAGCTCATCCTGCGACCCGGGGGCTTGTCACGCTCGCACATTGATCTATCGTCTAGCACGAGCAGCTTGCATCGGTTCATTCTTGGTCTCACTTGCCTAGGAGACGAAGCATTCCCCCCTCATGATGTCAGACCGCACACCAGTCTGCGCAAGTTGCTGCTTTCTGGAATTTCGTGCAGAGCTGCATGTGTTCCTCCAATATTTGTGTCATCTTCCTTGGATCAGATGGAATAGCCAGGGCGGTCACTGCGATGGGGATGACACGATGGCACCCCGACATTGTGTGCATGAGTCGCCGACGCACGCTTAGCGGCACAAGGTCCCCGTTTGTGTTGAGGCCTGCTCACTTTGCCCCTCTGCCCGGTTGGACCTCGTGAAGCCAACGATCAACAATGAAATAGAGAGGACGCAGGGAGGAGCCACTCGTGTGACGATTGTCACAGGTGGAATGTAGTCCCAGTCGCAGTATTCTGTTCTCGGCAAAAAGCGATCTGGGGGCGAGTGCGGGATATTTGACAGCCGTCGTTTTGAGGCACAGCAGAGGGATTCACGATAGAACTGTAGCGTGTCTGTCAAGTCAATGTTCGCCCACTTTCCTCTGCTACTCGACTAAGTCGACTCGCCTGCTGTGCATGCGATCCATTTGGGACAAGCGAGTGAGGGAGGTGTGTAGCGGTTCGGGCAAAATAGGATTGTGGTGTGTTGGCCACGAAAGCCAAGAAGCGGAAAAGAACCCAAGAGACGCAAGCCTATCTCTTGGTCTTCCGTTCGGCATCACGACTTGGCACACCGAAGGAAAGGGAGGGGTGGCCAGGCGGGTGAGGCGACAAGAGAGCAAATCCGCAGAGCTGCAAGAATGCCACAAGGCCGCAGGTGACAACAGGCCGGACCATGTTCTCGGTTGGGGGTCCTCTGTGTTGGAACCTGGGAGTCGTCGTTCTGGAAAGATCAAAAGGTGTGAGCTCACTGGACTCTGGTTGGATGTGCCTTGCATTAGCGGCGAGCCTGTGGTTCTGGACTGTCGGCGACGACGAGATATGTCTCTGGGGAGGGGGTGTTTAGTGTCGACCATGTCGTCGAAAGCGTGCCCTGCTGCAAAGTGCAAACTCCCCTTCTCCCAGCTCCTGGACGCCTAGACCAAGGCCCGCCAACTGCTTATGGTCAGTGGCCAACAGGGCAGGTGGCGCCGCCCCCAGGCGACAATCAAGATGACATGTCGCGACCAATCGTTCATTGCTTCTCAGGGACGAGGTTGCATCGATAGTCGCAACTGATAGACCGACAGACAGCCGACACGACACCACGCGCAAAGTGGACGCGGTACGGGAAGAACCACCTCATCAATGGGTCAAGTCAGTCGGAGATGGGGCCAACCGTTGGCAAGCCGCAAGACTGTGTTCCGTATCCGTAGACAAGCTTTACGACTTGATTGTGCCTTGGCACGGAAAGGCTCCTAGCTGCTTCTTGGCATCTTGCTGCCTCGCAAGTCGTACAAAGTACAGAGAAGGAGGAGTACTCGTAGGAAAAACGAGATATGACTGTGGATGAGGCTATGGGACTATGATGCGGATATTTCGTATTGCTCGTCAAGCGAAAACGCGGGTCGATCCGCCATGACGATAACGACAACGAAGGCTGAAGTTGATGACTGATGTTGACGTTGATGATCCAGAAGGCAGTGATAAAATAAGTGAGACCTGAGGAGAGGATGTTCCAGCACCGCCCAGCGCCGAGCGTCTTGAGCAAGGATGTATACGCGGGTGTGTGCGGATTGTGTAGGAATCGAACAACCTGTGGAGGTTGCGAGAGCGAGAACGAAAAGCGATACGGATCCAACCCAAGTAATTTCAGCAAAATAGACGATAGAATAGATGCGACATTGACAGCAGCACTGCAACGGTCGTCGGTCAGCATCCAACGGCTCAGGCCATAACCGTATTGTCTCACTCTCTCGCTCATCATCATAGCGCAAAAAAAAGAAGCGATGGATGGATGGATGGTGTCTGTTCTGACGCAAAAGTTAGAACAACAACGACCTGGATCCATACTGATGCAGGGAGAAGGAGACGCTCCGTAGCTATTCAACAAGCGAGACAAGTGGCCAGGATAGACTGGGGGCGGCAAAGCCAAGGATGGATCCTGTCACGCCTGTCTGCCTCATGAAGAGACCCGATTGCCAGGGTCGTTTCGCCAAACATGATGAACGTCTTCAATGCGACAAAGCCTGTCAAGGTAGTCACTGATGGGTGACAAGTGACGAGCAACAAGGGGAAACGGCGACGCGTTCAATGAAAGGGGGGGAAAAGATAAAATGGGTGGAATAGGTGGATATTGATCCTGTAACAAGCGACAGGGGAGCGTCCCCGACGAACTCTCTCAAGACACGGCGGCAGCGCAAGATGGAAACTGGGGAACGCATTGGCTGCCGTGTCGCTCGAAATTTCATTCTGGGCCGATACCTGTGCCTGTCTTGCGGGGAGAGCGATAGCAAACTCCAGAGGCCTTGGATCTTGCATGGCAGGCCGCAGGAGTAGTACAAGGTGCCTAGCCTAGCATGTCGAGTTATTGATGCTGGAGCTGCTACTATGCACGGCATGGACCCTTTCATGGACCACGCTGGGAGGTTGCATATATCTGCATAAAGACGAAGGCCGGTGGCATAACACGGCCGTGGAAGATGGACGGCCGGGTGTTTGGGTTGAAGGGCCGGTAGGTTGAGAGATAAAAAATGCCGCCATGGAGGGACCGATGAAGAGACGGGGGACGGCCACTCGGCCGGATGGCCCAAAAGACCCAATTGGGAACCGAGCGTACGTCTCAACGAATGAGCAAAAGAGGTCCGGCGGCAGCAAGATGAATCAGGATGGAACTCCCAATGCGCCGGGACGGAATGTGCATCCTGACTTGACTTGCTTGCTGTGTAACTGGGGGCTGTTATAGCCTGTTACCGGTGGTTGCAGGTGTCGAGGTCGTCTTTATCCAAGGAAGAGGCGAGAGGGAGCCAGGATGGTCCTCTTTTCTCGCCCAGAGGGGAGAATTGCTGCAGTGTACGGCGTGGTGGTGCTCCTTGATACGGCCGGGGCAAGGGGTGTGCGTGTACTGTAGTGTATGGTACGGGATAGGTGAGCCCAGTTGACTAGCAGGGCATGCCAGAAGCGGGAGAAGGCAGTGAAAGAGGGGTCCTGGAGCCTTGAGGATGTTTCCCTTGTTCCCTCGGGTTGAGCGTCGAAGGGGAGCGACGGTGGACGATGAATACGCGGGCTTTTAGTGACTGACCCAGCCTCTTTACGGATCAAAGAGTGCCGTCTGTTGCTGGGCATTCGGGTATGACAAGGCGAGGACGAGGACGGTGAAGTTTGCGGCCTCGTCACAAGTGGTGGCTTGGAGGCGGCTGGAGGTTTCTCCTCGTGGTGCGACAAAGTGAACGTCGTTGATAGGGGAGCCAGGGCGTATCCGGCCAGCAGCTAAGACTTGCGTACGCAGTCCGCGGTGGCGTTACTCGAAAGCCTCTTGACGGGTGCCCTTGGCAGTTGGTCTATGGTAGGTCTCCGGGACAAGACGGCGCCGGCAGTGGCTGGGGATCACGCTGTAGACTTCTTGCGTAGACTTCTAGAGGAGTGAAGTTGAACGTCTGTGTCAGCGCATACAGTCAGCAATGCCTCTTTGGACAACCTGAAGTTGACCTACATTTACTGACTGGCTGCTACCCAGCTTGGTCCGGGGTGCCTGAAGGATGGATGCGTGCGAAATGAGGGGAAACACAGCGTAAACACGCGCAGAGAATGATGACCTCCACTTGAGGATTCATGTGAAGAAGAGGGGCGGCATCAGGTAAATGGCACCAAGGCAAAGTACTGTGCAATCATGGCAATGAGTGATGAGAATTGCTGCGAAAGATTGAGAGACTGATAGACATACCTCTGCGAGATGCGCATGGATGGCAGCAGCAGGACTACACTACCTACATAGTATTACAGTATCAACAGCAGGAGCAGTGAGAGACTCAGAGACTTCCTTCCAAGTTGGTGGACCTGAGCATTGGAGGATGAATTGAGTGAGGGGATACGTACTTTGTGCAGATGGGCACTAAACTGTGAACGGCACAAGTGGGACCTGCCTCCCGCTTCAATCGTCTTCGACACCAGGGTGACCAGGGCAGGCCCAGGAGCACGGAGCCCAGATCAACCAATAACAAACGAGTAAAAATGACATGGAGATTCCCGCTGGTGGAGTGTTTTTTTGTGAAAAGGAAAGAAGCCAGTCCCAAAAACGGCAGCGCAGATGGAACCCAGTCCCCACTTTTGCCAATCAAGGGAAGCCAGGACCGGGGGCGCTTTCCATAGCGCGAACCAACCCACCGCTATCCCGCTACTGCAACCTTCTTCCCCAAGTGCGAGGCAAGAGGCACGGTGGCACGCCGGGCAGATGGCACTGGCAGGTGCAAGTCGTCTCTGCCTGCTCTGCTATTCTCTAGGTAGGTATGCGCAGGTACCTTATTCCTACCATCTTTCGCGTGCGTCCATGGGCCACGAGCAAACAACTTCCAAGGAAAAAAAAAAGTCGATCATTGCAAACTTGACTCGTCACGGGCCATCGATAACTCAATGGCTGACCGCCATGGTCGTGCGGCTGGATTCCTGCTCCTGCTCTCCTCTGGATCGTTGCAGTTTTGTCCTCTCCCAGCTGGCTGCTGCTACCATGGCCAGATGCACTTGGGTTTAACTTTTTGACGATTACTCCAGGTGGCTCAGTCATCGCCAATCAACTCAATATCTGCCGAGGACGAAGAAGAAGAAGGACATTAATTCACCCGCTTGTTTGCTTCCACCAACAACTAACAACTTTTTTTTCGCCCCTCTGACAGGCCACCAGGCTTGTTATTGATGACAGGCACAGACACAATACAACATTGAACACAGGCACAGGCCGCCGCAATAATGGAGAAGAAGACGAAGAACCTTGGAAGTAGTTCCCCCGCAAGCACACGGTTAAGAGTAACCTGTTTCGGCCCTAGCTACGGCGCATGGCGGGGGGCATACGCAGTACATTTGGCCCAGATCGTCCAAGTTGGTTTCTGTTTACTCCCACGGCCACGCCTACGATGCCACGGAGCGGCAGCCAGAAACAGAGACACACACGGACGTCCCACATGTGCAATGGTCGCGCTGCTCAGACCTGTCAACCGCTGGCTCCCTTCTTTCATCCCGTCTACGGCGCATGTGTGCGTGTGTCTCTGCTGTGCGGCTGGTCTCGTGAGTCGTCTTGCAGGCCGGCAACCCCAGTAGCCCTACCAGCCATGCCAGCTTATGACAGAAAGAGGGCAAGACTTGATCTGGTTGCAGACCTGATTCGTGGTCTGGACTGGCCCGAGGTAGCACGATAGAGGTTGCAACAATGAAGCCAGTCTCTGAATCTACTACGGAGTACACTAGTAAAGAGTCTACAGACTTTACTGTGTACGGAGCAAAGGGCTAGGCACGGGGGCTGCGAGTTTGTTTGTGACCCCGGTTCAGCTGGTTCAAAATTCCTTTCTTTTCCCCTCGTCCTCGTCCTCGTGGAGACTTGAGCCGTCGAGGGTACGTATCTTGTCCGATTTACGGGCTTTGCAGTCGGTGTATTAGGTAAGAAACATGTGAGGTACATCGCTACAGAGGAACCTTAGGTAAGGACAAAGTCAAGGGAGGCCCATGACAAGGCTCGAAAACCTAGAATGGAGAATAGAAGCAGACAAAAGGCAAAAAAGGAATAGGGCAAGAGTACACGAACGGATACTTTCCATCGCATCGCATCGCCTCACCTCGCATCGCTTCGACATTCGACGGCATCAATGCGCGATTCCGATTTCCTTCTCGACGAGTTCGTCGCCGCAGTCGGTGCCGCCGTCCAGTGTCAGTGTCGAGGTCAGTGTGATGTGTCTGTCTCCTAAACCCCAAGTGTCCCAAGCTCCAGCATTGGGCCCTGCACCAGAAACAACAACCACAAGAGAAAGAGAGAAAGAAGAACAAACCAGTCTGTGATGATGCCGGATGCTGGTGTTGGTGCAGGTTTTTTGGTGCTGGTGCTGGTGCTGGTGCTGGCGTCAGAGCTAGACTGACAGTGACAGCCCTTGTTTGGCTGGTGGACCTGTCTGGCCCGGTCAATTTAGCCCCCCCAGCAGAAAGTGGCATGGCATAATAACGTACAGTTATTCGTAGTCGTACAGATATTGATAGTGCAGACTGCAGACAGTGGTGCAAAGGAAAAAAGGCGAGGGAAAATACGCTGCTGCAAGAGAAAATAGCAGCCGGGCCTGGGTCCCCATGATGCCCCTGCCCGGCGCAATCTTGGCTCCATTCGACTCTTCCCACTCCCATTGACACCCCAATGGCTCACCCCGGCTTGTTCCATTGCTCCATTTGCCTCCCCCCCCAGGTCCAAAGAGGGTCCTCGAAAGATACGTACTGTTAGTGTGCAGGATACGTACCGGTACGTATTCTGGTGTTCCCTGCGCGATGCACATCCACAATCTCGTCTCGCTCGTCCATCCCATCTCTGTCACTCACCAATTTGCTCTTTCTCACTCTTGTCTCTCTCTCTGGCGCTTGCCGCTCTCGTGGCTCTGTGGCTCTTTCTCAGTCTCTCTGCTCCTGCTCTGTGTCTTCTGGGCTGTCTCGCACACACCCGTCGGCCACTAACCAATGAGTACGTACTTTACAGGTGGACACATACCTTGCTTTGCACCTGCCCGCTCTCTTCCTGTACGGAGCATTTGTATACACACACCTCTGTCGTCGTAACATCCACTCCCCCCAGTCTGCCTCTATGCTCTCTATCCCCTACTCACTGCGTCTCTGGCTGATCCAGGTCCAGAATCCACAGTCCACACCCAAAGAACCAAACGACCAAGACTCAAGAGTACACACGCAATGCCATACATACCATCCCCAATAAAACCATCGTGACACCTCCCTCCCCGTGCACGTTCGCTCTCACTCTCAGGCCCTACTCTTCTTCTGCCGTGTGTCGTCTCTTTGATCGAGGGTTCAACTTTGCAACATCTGCCAAGTCAAAGGTCGTCCCAAATGCGCTGTTAAACGGGTCTTCGGTTTCTGGTTTCAACGTCTCGTCTCTCGCCATTCGCCATCCTCGTCTCGTCTCGTCTCTTCTCTGAAGAGTCCTCGGCCGTCTACCGTTTACCATCTGTCGTCCTCAAAATCCAAATCCAAATCCTGATCCTCCCACCACCCGTTGGATCGAAGCTTAGCTCCTCATACCTACTTCTCGGACCCTTCATCTACGCCGCACTCCCCTTCCTCCTCCCTTAAGTCAACTCGCCTCTATCGACCGCACTCCCACACTCTCAATTTCAACGCCGATCCTCACTCTCCCTTTCCGCGCCCCGTGTCTCGCTACCTCTTCGATCTGCCAACCACCCCCCGGTTGACATCACCAGACCCTTCCGCAGGTTTCGGCTTCGAAACCGTCTGTCAGTGGAAAGACATTTGGCTTGGGACTTGCACCGACTGCCCACCTGCTCCGCTTCCTCACCTGTTGGCTGGAACCATTCGAGTGGGTTGATATCAGGCCATTGCTGCTCGTCTACAAGGCATTCGGCTTCGCCTGTCATTCTTCATTCCTTACATACTAGGTAACTTCTTGAGTGAGCTTCCCTCCAATGTACGTCACCCCAATCCTTCTCACCGTCTGGTTCCCGTTGATCTCAATTCCTATCCTACTTCACCCACTTCTCCTCCAGCCTCTGCCCTGATTCACTCTTGATACCTCGTCAATGCCGTTGACTAACCCACCTCTCGCAGCAGTCTTGGGCAATTGCATCTGCTCCCCTCTGGACAGACATCCACAGCAATTGAACATTGATCTTTCGATACGACACTTTCGTCACACATCGTTAGCAAGCTAGCCTTGCCAACCCACTACCGCAACAATGGCCGTTCCCCAAGAAAAGGTGGCCGTTCACACCACGGTCGCCAGCATTGCTCTCCCCGAGAAGGCGGCGTACTCGAAGCTGTCCGACACTATCGCCACGACCCCGGGCACACTTACTCCTGTTGCTTCAACCCCCGAAAAGAGCCTGGAAATGCCCCGCGACAGCAACCTTTCTACCCCGCGGTCGTACCGCAACGAGAACCCCTTCGATACCGACATCGAGGCTATGATCACCACGACATCCTCCTCCGATCCGTATGCCATGAAGAGCATCTCAACTACAAAAGACTGCCCAACGATATGGCCGGGCAAGCAAGATTGGAAGGCCAAAGCGAAGGCCGCAAAGCGTGATAGGGGCTCCTGCGCCTGCATGGCTCGCATGAGCAAGAAGAATCGCATCATCATGAAGGTGGCCATTGGCCTCCTCGTTATTGGCGTCGGTGTTGGTGTCGGCTTTGGCGTCAGCAAGCCTTTGGGCGCACCCATCTGGGGCACCCCTGACGGGAACAAGTGAAGAAGACAAGTCTTTCAGCGACATTTACACTTCGACACTGGACTACAAAACGTCAATCTGTCCATTCAGCCGACTATCACACCGAACATAGCCGCATAGACGCTCTACTACCACCACACTCGAGCCGCTTTCCCTTCAGCTTGTATTATATACAACGAACCATTATTACTGTCGCCCGATGATCACCTTGGGCGGCTATTCCTCTACTGTCTCTTTTTACATCGAGCCTTATCATCAACAAAGGGAAGGGGCCACCATAATTACGATCAGGCGTTTTTTGGAGTTCAATGCATGGACATTCCATCAGCGAGCGAGCAGCGGCACTTTGCGATTCAGTATCCTACAGAAGGGGTCACGATAACCCAACGGGCTGTGAGAAGTCCGAGGGCATCGGCGCTACGAGACACGAAGCAATACACTTTGATGTCTACGTTTACGGAGAGACCAGGGCTTTTCCTACTTTTCGATTCTTCAAATGGGGAGAACAGCACCAGCACTTTTTGTACAAGGGTATTGGAGGCACGCTTACTGCGTCAAGGAGAGACGCATGCGGTTTCGCCATAGCTGCGGTTTGTGGTATAAAAGGATTATTGGAGTGGGATTATTATTGTTAGGCTTCTCTATTAGACGGCCTCTATACGCATTAGGGTATCAGGCGAGAGCAATCAAAGACTTCATCAGGGATCCCGCAGTCGAGAAGCGCTCTGGCTGACGGGTATCCTGCATTTTTCTGGTTACACATATTCTCATCTTCACTCTCTGCGTCTCCCGTCGTTACGAGTCTTCTTCCAACTGGTGGACATGGATCATCCCTTCTTTTTACGTGTTTTGGCCAAATTGATTGCCATGAAACGACGCACGTTTGTTGGGGTAGACCCTTCTTTCCTACAACCGAAAGACGAGCTGACAAGGACACACAGGCCGACCACCTCGACAATCACGTTCATGCTTGGAAGGGCCATCGCCGAATAGTACAGGCTGCAAAGCGTGCCGGATCCCGATCCGATCCAGCAAAGTTCAAAGAGGTACTCCTCGTTTATCCTGGTACCTAGACGTACAGTATCCTTACACTCGCACAATCTCTCGCACCACATGCAGATTTCAGAAAAAGGAAAGAAGAGAAAGTCAAAGAAAGTTCCGCGGGTTTTACCCATCTCAAATCCAAGATGTCGGCTAGGATGCGATGGTGTAGTAAGCGAACGAAAGGGAACTAGAGCGATGGCTCAAACGTGTTAGAAGAGTTGTGTGCAAGAGAGAGCGAAGGGGGGAGAGAGAGGAAAACAGGTGATGGATGGGGGAAGGGACGGGGATATCACCTTGTCATGAGTTGTGGCTGAAGAAGCAGAAAGGTGCAAACAGTGCGGAAGAAAAGGTTCAAGAGAGTTTGGAACTGAACCGTCCGTCCATCCCACTTGTCGATCTCCCTTCCATGGCAAACTGAAAAGGATGGACTTCCATCTTTGGCATGGTATTCGGGTCCGCGGGGCGCCAAGCGAGTACGGGGCTTTTTGTGTACGAACGATAGCGGTGGGATTTTCTTCAGATGAGATGGGAATGGTGGTGTTGTTGGTGGGATGGATCTTGGATTCGGGAGGGGAAGTGTGTTCGTTGTGGATGGGCATCGCCATTCATCGTGGGTTGGTTTCTTCTCCATCTCCTCTTGCAAACACCTCGGCCGCCCACTCTATTGCCGTCCCTTTTTCCCTTTCCATCTGTCTCCCTCCCACGTCTTCCGGAAAAGTATCAGTTGGATCTTGTGACTGTACCGTTTCGCTCTCGTTCACCTGACAGCCAGACGGAATCGATGGGACAGGGGGGGATTTGCGTCGCGGGCAGATACTTCTTCTCTATCCCACCTGGCCGCAGCCGGAGCAGACGCGGGGCCACTCTGTAACCGATCTGCGATGGGCCTTGTTCTTGTTCTTGTGCGCCGGGTCTCGGGTGTCCGGTGCCGCGGAGGTGGACTGGGATGCCTCGACGACGGCGGGGTTGTGGCTTTGGTGAGAGTGCCGAGGGCAGTAAGACGAAGACGCAGACGCGGAGGTGGATGATTCAGCGACGACGCTGACGATGGGAGATGCACCGCCACTGGATGAGGCTACAGCTTTGCCTTTGCCTTTGCCTTTTCCTTTGCAGGTGCATTTGGGTTTGGCCTTGGCGGTGATGTTGTCGGTCTTGGCTCCGGGCGATCTGGGTTGGGCTTTCGCCTTGCCTTTGCCCTTCGCCTTTGACTTGGTTTTGGTTGTGGGCTCGTCGGTAACAGCGTTAAGGTCTACAGCAGCAGCAGCAGCACCGGAAGATGAAGAAGAGGCCTCGCTGTTCTAGGGCTTGGCGTTCTTATTTCCCGTCTTGATGTTGCTGCTGCTCTGGCCCTCTTCCTCGTCAGAATCGAAGACGAGAGCTGAACGCCACTTGACGGTGCCGAAGCGGGTTGGGGAGCGGGATTCTCCCTCCGTCGGGGAGCCCGGCTCGGATCCGATGCTGGAGACGGTGTTTGTTGTTCGGCGGCGGGCGTCGCCGGTGACGGTGACGGTAGAGGATCGCGCGCTGGAGAGCGGGGAGACGCCGTCTGAGTTTGTGGCGGAGGCTCGAAATGCTGCGGTATGGGCTCGGCGGGATAGGGCTGCGGCGCCGGCGGCTGCTGCTGCTGCTGCTGTTGGAGTTGCTGAGGTGGATGCGCTTGAAGATGGCTGCTGCTGATGGGCGTAATTGTGCGCTGGGGTCGGAGAGGCGCCGTAGTAGGAGGGGATGTGGCCTGCTGCCCAAGTGCCTGTGCCGCTGCTGCCTGCGGTGGTGGTGCTCTTTGGAGTACTGGTGCCAGTAGAGGAAGAGATGTCTTTGAAGCGGCCGGAGGAGGGGATGTCGGTTGGGGGACGGAGGGGCTTCTGTGTGGTTATGGAGTCTGCGTCCGAGTGGTTTTCGTCGTTGTCAGAGCCGTTGTTGGTGTCTCCTTCGTCTGACGTGTCTGTCTGGTTCTCGCTAGAGCCGGAGCTCTGGCCCTCACGGGGATGGTCGTCTTCTTGGCCCCAGTGGCGACGGCGGCCTGTTCTTCCGTAGATCTGGGAAGGGTGTGGGTTAGTATCTCGTCCTGGACCGTGTTCGCGTTCGGGTTCGATGATTCGAGTCGTGGGCTCTGCGAATCGGGGGCGTCTCAGAGCAGTGGCGATGTCGCCATCGTCGGATTCCGTTTCGGTGATTACAGGTAGACCGCCGGGAGTTCGAGGGGGTGAGGTTCTCGGGGGAGCGGTTCGAGGGGGGGTAGGTCTCGGGGGAGAGGCGTCCGGGCTCGGAGGGGAGGAGTAGGAGGAAGAGGAGGAGGTATCGTCGGCGGGGTCGGGCTTGGTGTTGGTGGGGGTTTTGCTGCGACGACGGATGAGGCCTGGGTTCAGAAAGGATGGATACGCCATGACCTCGGACCAGAGGTGTCGTCGGCCCCAGGAAGGGGGGTTCTCGTAGAGGGTTATGGGGGGAATCTGGGTTCCGTCACTTGGGTGCCACGCTGCCCATCGACGCTTCTTGCGACGGGGGTGTTGTCCGAGGATGAGGATGCCTGGGGACGTGCTGCCGCTGGTTTCTGGATCTGAAGTTGAAGCAGCAGCAGAAGCAGCAGCAGCAGCATCGCCAGGACCAACATCACCACCATCTCGGGCACCGGGGGGAAGGGTGATGTGAGAAGAAGACGGGTTGGTTTTGCTTGTACTTACCTCGTTGGGGACCTCGTTCTTATCGAGCTCGCGCCAGGGGAACCAGAACTTGTGAAAGGTTTGCATCTCGATATCGGGGTTCTTCTTCATGTTTTTGATGGCGCGGCGGCGCTCCTGGTAGCAGGTGAAGACGAAGAAGATGAGAACGATAACGGGAACGCAGGGGACGACGATGAAGGTCCAGGTGAGGTTTCCGTAGACTGGGTCCTTGAGCTTTGGTGCGTCTGGTGCTGCGGTGGCCGAGGGGACCTGGGTGATGTAGACGGAGACGGTCGTCACGGTTCGGGGGATGAGGTTTGCGACTGTCGTGATGAGGGTTGTTGGGGTTGCTGTTGGCGGCTGTGTGAACGCTGCTAGGATGGGCTTGAAGGTTACGGTTGGTGAGGGGAGGGAGTGAAGTGGTGAGGGCGCCATTTTGGAGGATGCCCGCAATAGGGACTTAAGGTATGTTTGAAAGGGGCACTAGGATTTTTGTAGATGCCTATGACGCCGTCCTGTTCGCTTGGGTATAGTGATATACGGCCAGCAGCAGGTATCGTGAGCAATGAGTATCGTTGTGTTGTGTCGAGTCAAGTCGAATAACTGCACTGGTATCGTGCGTATAGCTGTAGGCTGCAAAATGCTGGACAAACAACAAGAAGCAACCTAGCAGAAATGCCAAAACGATATTGCAAAATGAGCTCCGTCTAGATGCTGGTGAGTCGTTACTGTTTTCGAATTGGAGGGGGGACGTGAGTGGTGAGAAGGAGATATTACCTACTGGGCACGATCGCACGTGATATTTGTGATGTTTTTGTTTGGGAGAAGAGTGAGGGCGGTAAAAAATATGAATGGGATCTCTTTTTACCGCTCACAATGGAAGTGATTTTTTAATTGTTGTGGTAGTCGTCGGATGATGAATCGATGCGAAATACTGGTTTGGGTGAGGTGTGCTGAGGGAAAAGGGGGGAAGGAATGCAGCCTCCTTCTTGAGCGATGTTCTTCTCCCCCGACCTTGCCGGATTTTATTTTGCGTCGTCTTGGTGTCTGGTTTGTACAGAAAAGTCGGGAGATGGGGTGAGTGAGGAAAAGTTCACCTCTGCTGAAGGAAAAGTGTGGATGTATGTGGGAGGTCAAAGTAAACAATGGCTTTGTGTGGGAGGTGAGTGTTTGTGAAGAGGGGAGGTGCAGGAGAGCAGCCCTACTTGGTCGAGGCCAAGGTCGAGGATCAAGATGGGGCAGACAGTCTGTTGACTGAAAGGCGTGTGATCAAAGGACGTGTGGGATTTATTTTTGGCCAACAGGGGAGATTGAGTGCCTTGTGATGGTGAACAGGTCAATACCTCACTGACCGAGGGACATCTTCTCGCGTCGTGTTTGCCAAAGAGAAAAGAGTGGAAGAGTCCGCTGAAGAAGCGTAAAGAACAGGAACAGTCTGGGTGAGTGGAGAATCGCCGGGGGTAAATGAGATGTCAAAGGATGACTGCACAGGTGATTTTGCTTCCTTTGTGGGTGGTGGTGTTTCCCTTGGCCTGGGGGGGACGCTGTTCTGTGGACAGCAGATGCTTTGTTGTGATGGGATGATATATATGTGAGAGATGACCTCGACCGGATGGAATACTCGGACGAGGAGATACATCAACTGCCATTCGGACGAATATACTATCAGAAACCACCTAAGCACGAAATCGGGAAGTTCAAGACACATCGCGCCGGCGCTGGGAATTCGATGCCAGGTGCTATTGCATTTCGGACTTCATATTTGGTATTATGCACACCTCTCCCCGAGTAGTATCGTTGATGATGGATCTGACTAGTCGCATTTCAGAAAGATACGTCTTGAATGAATATACAACCATATTACACAAACGAGCTCGGAAATCTCACGAACGGCCGTGCTGGCGCTGGGAAGACATTGCCGCAAGGTGATATTGTACCTCAGACTTGCCATTACCTACAACAAGTTAGTATCGTCCGCGCCTCTCATCATGTAGCATCGTTGATTTCGAACCTGACTCGCTTCAGCTTTGACATATCCATCATCTACCTGAGGACGACTGTTCAAAGATGTCCACCCCCGATCCCACCACTTCCACCACTTCGATCGCTCCCGTCATTCCCACCGCGCCGGTCACCGACCCACTCCAGCCTGGAGAAAATGACTTCAACCCGCTCCGATCATATCCAGAAACATGCATAGATTTATGGAAGATTTTGTCTTTGACTGTTTTCAGTGTCACGATGATCATCGGTATATTGTTTGCATCGCAGGCTCTTTGGCACAGACGTGAGAGGCACAATGTGAAGCTCCAAAGGATGAGAAAGCAGACGGCTTGAGTTTTTCCTTGGCCTTCTATCTTACAAACTTTCTGAGTGCATTGGGAAGCATGGTTATGAGAGACTTCCACTAATCTGATTCTGATTATCGGTTTTATCTAAGCTCTCAGCGCGAATAATCATATTGATACTCTGATAACTTCCATAGCACCTTGCTTGAGGTTCTGCCAGTGTATATCCCTCCCTAGCTGGTCGTCTTCACTATTGCCAAATCAACTATTAACTTTCTTGAACCCCGTGTGCAGACAAGCGGATATCGGGAAAGTGTTGACTCTGGTAATGAGCACGAAGCAACTTGGATGAAATAAACAGTCACTAGCAGCTATGATATCGCTAATGACTGGTCAACTGGTCAAGATATAGAGGTATGAGAGGCATATGAGTCTCTGTGATCCTATGCTGGTTCTTTGATGCCGCTATATGCCCCTGAATCTCCGGGTGCTCTCGTCGAGTTGAGGACAGATAGCCCTGCGTTAGATACTTGGATCAAAGTCGGCCCAAATCAGAAGCTCAAATTTTACCGATACTATGTGTTTGCAAAATGGTGCTCTACAAGACCATTTCCACGTGTTCAATCCCTGACCGAAGTGTCGGTGTGGGAGCTCGCGGACCTTGAACCTGGAAATGCGCAACACCGGGCTCCGAACTTGCTGGCAATCGAGACATCAAGTTGCAACGGTGCACATAGTACAGTGGCACGAGACATCAACGTGGTTTCTTTCAAGCTTCCTCAGCTGTGATTCGAGGAAGGCGGTGACGACATCCCGGTCACTCTTGGGTGGCCATGATCGCGCGGTCGTTCCCCTTCAACTTACGCAGGGAGGAGCAACAAAGACTCGATCTTTCCAACGAGTGGTACAATCATAGAGGACGGAATAGATCGGTGTAACCTCGCAACGACGCAGAATCGGTCCGGCGAGAGGAAACCGAAACCTCGTGTACCTGCCGCTTGTGCGTCATGAAAGGTGCTTCTCCCCTCAAGCCCTCTGTCGTGGATCAACATCAAAAACGTCGCTGCTCGAAATCTTGAGCTGTTCCTGCCATCCTCCTGTTTTTGGAAAGGATGATCCTGCCGCTAATGTCGTGCAGAGCAAACGGTCGCCTGACTTGATTGGGTATGTGTGACGTGAGGGACGACTTCCACCAAGATTGGGAAGGTTCCAAGGACAGGGATATGGAGGTTGAGGAGTACGATGCAACTTCCGCAGATGACCTTGGCGCTGGCGACGGGAAGGAGAGATCGGAGACTTCATCCTCTTCCAGGGTAGATACGGCAGTTGCTGTCGGCAAGCTTCCCATCGAAGAAGGTAACTTCCTCCTTTCGTGGAAGCTCCAAGCTGTTAGCAGTCCAAGGACCAGAGTGTCTGTCTTCTCCCATATAAACCTCCCCAAACCGACTCCCACCCTCTCTTCCATCTCTTCTTTATCCTTCGTCTGCCAACGACACCACAGCATCCCTCTACTTTTTTGGACCAACACACATTCTGCCAGCATTCCTTTCAAGTCACTTCTTCCACTCAGAAATACGCCACTCGGCAACATCAAAAGCCAGGCGACCGAGATGTTTTCTCTCTCTATTGTCACTCTGACACTAGCTGCCCTTGGCATTGCCAGCCCCATTGACGTCAAGCCTCGTCACCACGAGGAAGTCAAACCTCGGCATCATGAAGAGATTCAACCCAGGTCTCACAATGTCCCAAGCTTCGAGACACTGAAACGTGAAACAACCACCAACGTGGGCTCTGCCATCTCCAAGATGATTCCCGGCGTTGGAAATGATTGGGGATGCAATCATGTAAGCTTCTTTTCCCTCCTGTCTGCTCGTTCCATCTCTTCTGGATCATGCTTCCTGTCACATCTCCACGCATGTACCTGTATCTACTGCTGCATAATCAGCGATAAAGCGACAAGAACACACATCGTACCGATGTCACAGAGCTGACAGAGAACTAGATCACTGCCCCAAACCCCCTTGACTGCCCAGCCCTTTTCGCAAAGATACAATCCGGGCAAAAGGATGGAGTCACCGTATCGACCGACAAAACTTGCTTCACCCAGACTCATGGTACATGCAAGGCCACCGTCTGCTCAGCTGGTGGAGTTGACAATGTGGACTATTCGTTGACAACTGCACGGATGATGAACCCGATTCAAACAACGTGCATTGTCAATGGGAAAAGTGGCTACTGGTGGAACGAGAACCACACAGTCTACGTCTCGGTCACGCGTGGCAACTAGGATCGTCGCGACCTTCGCTTGAGACAGTTTGAAGAGGATCCAAGTGATGAGGTCCCCGAGGAGGAGGAGCCGCAGGATGAAGATCCCGAGGACGAAGAAGACTCTGATGATGACGAAGAATCTGACGATGATGAGGACTCTGACGATGACGAGGACTCTGACGATAACGAGGACTCTGATGAGGATGATGAGGATGATGAAGAAGATGGTGACGATGACGAAGACGAGGTTGAGGACAACGAAGGTGACAGAGATGATGAGGGCCCTGAAGACGAGGAAATCCCCGAGAATAGCGAGCCTGTCGAAGAGGAGCCTACTGAGGGAGAATTTGTTCGGAGACGGAGACGAGTCTGTTGAAGACAAGGCTTTTGATGATTTGATGGGCTCGAGATGGTAGTTCTTCCGATGCATGGTCGAAGTGCCTGGCACTCAGTCGCCAAAGCTACCTAGACACCTGTAGCATGAATTAACTATAAAAATTAGAGCATCGCATCAAGAAGACGATCATGGTGTTATTTTGAGAGGGCTTCTTGCCTCGCCATCTGTCCCTTGCAAGTGAGATCATCACAAATGAAAACCAATGCCATTTGGAACCAACATGAATGGTCATAGAGAGGGTCATTTTGGGTTTTTGGTAGTCAAGTATTGGCGAAGTCGTTGATGGATGTACAGTGACGCAGGGCCAGGTGGATCCTTTCGCAGACAGCTGCCGCAGTGCATGGTGACCCCTGCTCGGGATCTGCCGAATGGTGGGGAGCTTGAGATCCATCATCAACATCAACATCAACATTGATCCAACACCCAACACCACGAAAACGACCTGCAATCTACCTTACGAAACCTAAAGCCACCACTATACTCAACCTTGGTCCTTGGCGCCGCGAAAATACAAGCTGAGGATACCAATCAAACACGCAGTCATGGGTCTGGTACGTCTCTCTCCCCCCTTACACACGCATCACCCACCGCAAAGTGCTGACTACCTGCGTTCCCGGACAGAACAAGGACGCCAGCCACACGTACGTGCACATGCACCGCGCGCGCGACGCCGATCTCTTTGAGGATTTCTGCAAGGAGAAGCTGCCGGATGACGAGGTCTACGTGCCGCCGCAGCACCAGCCGATCAACCCGGAGGACGAGGACGACGTGGTGCCGGACCAGCACGCGGCGTTTGGGATTACCAAGGCGACGCAGCGGTCGCGGGAGGCGGCGTGGAAGGATTTGGGGCTGTCTGGGTTGATGAATCGGGGGCCGCCGCCTGCGGGTGGGTGGGAGAGGGGGCAGGCCGGGGCTGGGGGGAGTGCTGCGGGTGGGAGTGGCGGTGGGAAGAGGTTGCCGCGGTAGAGGGATGGAGATTGCAAGGAGAGACATTTTCTGGGACGAGGTGACGGGAGGCGTTATGGGATACCCGGGTATTGATTTTGGGGACGCAGGGCGTGTCTAGGCCAGCATCGTGAATCGTGGGTTTTTCTTGGGGTGCCAGGCAGCTTCAACCCATGGCAAGAGACAACAACTGCTAATTGCAATGGAGTTTATGGATCGAAAAATCTATGACCTTATCGACAGTGGAATGATACCATCAATGTCTTTTTGGGCTTCATGACTGTCTTGTCATTGAGCCTTCCTACAATCCCACCTCGAATTTCAAAGGCCCACGAGCAAGTATTCACAAGGCACCAGAAAAGTAATTCCATCGCCCAAACGCCGCCCATGCTCTTCCTGTACACGCCGTGAATCAAGATACTCCATCACCTCCTCGACGACTCCCCTCATCCCAAGGAGCTCGGCTCAGCTCTTCCCAAGGTAGCCCTCCCTCTCCAACACCTCAGGCCTAAACTTTACCAAAAACACCGTCTTGCCAGGCCACATCTCGTGCTCGTCCTTTGCTGCGATGTTATGCGCGCTCACCCTCGCGGGGAAACCCGCTCCATCACAAATCCCCTCGACGATGCCCGCGACGTAGGCGGCGCAGTTGAGCTGGGACATTTCGCGCGGCACGGAGATGTAGGCGTTGACGAGGGGCTCGTTGTCGATGATCATGTACTCGTCTGGCTTGGCCGGGTCGGCTGATTTCTCGAGGCGGTCGGCTTGTCGGCCAAAGAGGTGCTGCCAGCAGGACTGTTTGATGAAGTGAAGGAGGGTGATGATTGTGAGGGGCCGGGTCTGGGTGCGCGGGGGTTCGCGGAAGAGGAGGAGGTCGAGGAGTTTGAGACCTATTGAGTGGCCTTGGACGTTGAGTCTGGAAGCGTCAAAGTTAGTGGATGCCAGGGCAAGGTGAGAGAGAGAGAAGGGCAGGAGAGGAACGAGGGAGCTTTACCGTTGTTCGAGCTCGGAAATGTCCTTTACGTTGCGCTGGGCGTACGAGACCATCTCGCTAAAAAGGTAGGCGAAGCTGGACTGGCTCAGCTCGGCCGTCTTTGTGCGGTTCAGGGGCCGGTGGTAGATTGTCTTGCCGTTGGAGGGGTATCGCAGGCCGGGCGTCTCCTTGCCTGGGATGCTCTTCGTCGTCGGCAGGTTCGCCATTGTCGCGTGTGTGGTGATGTATGCCTAGAGCCCTAGTGTGCTATTCAGTGTTTGCGCTGCGAAAGGAGGTGGTTTATATGGTTGTTATAAAAATGATCAGAGCTGTTTCACGGCTTGAGAGTCGGTGTGTGGCAGCAGCTTGGTGTTTGCGCTTGCGCCGAGAAAGGGTGACGTTTGGGGATGGGAAGGCTACAGGGTTGGCGGGAGCTGTGGGTTTGGAGTTTGGGTTGCGCCATTGGTGTGCAGCCTTATCGGCGATAACGATAAGAGCTCGCGCAGGGACAACCACCTCGCGGGAGCTTCAACTGTCATATCCCGAACGAAACGAAGAAGAAACGGAAGGGAAAAACAAATATGTGAGAAGATCTACATAAGGAGGCACAATTGTAATCGTACCGTCCGTCTCAATGCCTCTGTGAAGCACCCAAAAGTCTACCTTTTGCCCCTCTATCCTGCTATTAGTTTGAGCGCCTTTTGCTCCGTCTATGAAGGTGTAATGATTCAAATCAACCTCTAAGCTTCCCGCTCAACATTTACCAAGTCAAAAATCTAGGCAGTGGGCTTGACCTCAGCAGGTGTCTCGGCCGCAGCCGGAACCGGAGCAGCTTCAGCAGCAGCAGCCGGAGCAGCAGCTTCCGCGCCGATGCCCTTCTCGACAGCACCGCCGAGGTAGTCTTCCGACTCGCCGATTTGTTTTCCGCCGGCGACCCAGCGGGCCGTCCGGGCTTCGTGCTTCTCCTTGCACATGCCGTTGAGAGCGGGCCAGTAGACGGAGTGGTCGTACTCGAACTCGAGCTTGCCATCGCTGAATTCGGTCCACAGCTGCTCCTCGGGCACGTACTGGCGCATGTCCTCGTTGAACTTGAGCTTGTCCCGGGTCATGGGGTCGATGAAGGGGGTGATGAGCTTGAAGAAGCCGTTGACCATCCAGGGGACTGTCATGAAGTGTTAGCATGGCCGTGGCTTGAACTAGCTGAGATGAAGTTAAATGAAACAGCGTATACATACCATTGATGATGAGGGCCTTGCCCAGACGCTCGGGGTAATGCGTCTGGAGAATGTGCAGTACCTCACGAGCCAGTCCGAGGCCGGGCGCCGTGTTGCCGCGGCTCTTTGACGTCTTGAAGTTGATGAGAAGAGCAATCTTCTCCTGGCCGGCGGGCATGATGTCGATGACACGCTCGAGCATGAAGACGAGGTGCTGGACCTGGCGCGGGCTCGGGTCGGTGTTTTGGCGTCCCGGGTTCAGGTAGTGGCAGGGGCGGCGCTCCTTATCGAAGCCGAGAATGATTTGCTTGCCCGTCTCGTTCTCGGGCGAGATGTGGTCGGCGGTGAGGGCCTCGACGCCGTACTCGCGGCGCCAGGCCAGTGTCTCGAGGAGACGCTTCTCGGCGTCCTTGGGAGACCATTTGGTGGCGCGGAGGTAGCGGAGGAGGCACTCGCGCGTAAGCCACTGGCGCTCCGAGTCCGTTAAGGGCCCCGACTTGGCGACGTGGGCGGCGGTGGTGCACTTGACTTCCGTCCAGGCGCGGGCTTGGGAGAGGAGGCCGTCGTATTTGGCCTGTTGGTCTGCGGTGAGGGCCGGGACGGCCGGGGTGGAGGATGCCGGGAGCGGGAGGGCGATGGGCGTCTTGAGCGGGCCGGATGCGGTGGCCTTTTCTTGCAGACCGGCGGCGGCGGCGGTGGAGGCCGGTGTTTGATCGGCGACGGAGGCCATGGCAGGCGTGACTGGCTGGTGGGTGGTGACTGGTGGACCGTGGAACGTTTTTTCCCTTTCCTTCGGAGGAGAACAGATCCGGTTGAAGGTAGGTTGGATTTTTTTGACTTTTGCCCTTGCAATACGGATGAGATCGTGGCCGTAAGGGGTATGGTGAGGTGGGATGAGATGTGCGCGGGGGTGGAGGGGTGTGTGCGTTCGTTCGTCCGCGTCTGTGGTCTACCTTAGCAGAGATGGAAAAGATAACCAATGTCTGCTTTTCGAAGTTGTGTGCTTGTGTCTCGGACCTTGGAAGGGATGTTGGGGAAAATCTCGATGAGTTTGTTTCCCTCGCGCAGAAAGCCACACCGCTAGAATTGCAATCACGACCACGATGAGCTTACGCGGTATTGATTGACGGTGAGATTGGAGTTTGGAGAGGAAAGGAGATGAGCCCATGCCGGGAAGCTCAGTTCCGGCCGTTAGTGTCCGCCCCAAGAGACCCAAAAGGGGACCCAAAAGGCGCGCTTTCTTCGGGACTATGTAAGGTAGGTACTCCATAGGCCCGCCATTGATCAGCCGGGTTGCGCGCATAAGTTGAGTTTATTCTGTTTATCTGAGGGATATTGGGGATGTGTCTGGGTCTGTAGTTCTCTATGCGGCCCAGGGTATCACGAACTATTCCAAGATTCACATACTATCAAGACCTGCGGTCGGCGGGTTACATTAAACACCGTTGAGATGGATGGTCAACTTGCTGCGCTTTTTCCGAGGTGGCAGGGTGATGGCGGGCCTTGTCGCGCGCAGTCTGCAGCGCTGCTCGGTAAAACCCGCGCTAGGCCGGATCAAGTGGGTCCCGGTTCCAACGTTCTGAGAGGACCCTGATGCCTCCCCATAACGGAAAGTGCCTTACCTAATGATATACGTACTGCTCGGTTCGGGAACGGAGGCAGTTCTCTCCTTTGCTACCAGTACGTATTCTTTAGCTGCAATGACGCCGGCGGCGATGTGAAACTCGGATCTTCACTCAACCTTCAAGACAACCCGCACACGCCGCCGTCGCAGTCGTCCCCTTCTAACAACGGACCAGAGCCCTTCCTGTCTCCGCCGAGTCATGGGTGCCACTTTTGCGCTGTCAACCAACTTCGAACCTTTTGCAAATCAAGGAATGCCAGTGAACCGGCGTGTCAGTGGCCACCATCAAGTGTCACTTTTAGATGCTTCGTACGGATCCTCTCACTTCATCTGATCTAGAAACTCCCAGTGGCATTTGGAGAACGACGAACCCACCAAAGCACCACTACAATGTACAGAGACAATAATCCATACGCCATCGCCGATGATGGCTGAAGATGAGGCTTTCCCAGAACGGGACCGCTGGCTAACTGCGTGGAACGAATCGAACGATCAATAACTTCTACCGTTTCCAGGCTAACGATCATCCGCTGCATATGTCGCGTGGTCAACATTAGGCTGCCCCAACGTCGAGACGGCGCTCCAATCAACTCCATTCCTCCCTCGGCCGGTCCCTCGGCCTTCCGTGTCCGCGGCTGATCACGCTGGTCTTCCTGGGGACGTTGGAGACTTTGGAGCCATTCCCAGCTGCCCGGAACTCCAGCCATCCGAGCTGTGGCTGCAGCCGAGCGCCTGGCTTCTCTCCCTCCCGAACTCCCAAGGGCCGGCGCTGGCCCTGTCACCGTGTCACGCTCTCTCAGAAGCAGCACTTTGTGTGTGCGCTCTCCACCCCATCCGTCCACCTTTTCATCACTCGGTTCTTCGTTTCCGAGCCATGGTCCATCCCTCGAGAATCCTTCTCGTCCAATCCAAACACACACACACCCAAAACCATGGATACGTCGCTTGCTGGCTCGACTAAACCATGAACACATCTCATCCGTGCGGGGATGCGCCATCGTCCCAGATGTCTCTTAGGTTGGATGCAGCTCCCTCCCGCCCACACCGTCGTCTATCCAATATCACACTTTCTGCAACCCGCTTCTGCTCTTATCCCAGCGGCTGGCCCCATTCCAGGCAAACCTAGACATCTCGGGAGAGCCCTGCCTGTTCAAACTTCTCACTCCGGCTTCTGGACGGATCGTCGTCACATCAGCACGCCCCCACGAACTCCGCCCAGTGCCGCCGGGAACTCGAATGTCCATCACTGATCGTCGCGGCTCCCGGTCTTGGAAAAGGGCTGCGTGGTATCCGCACCGGTAAACCTTCAAAAGAAGAAAACCTCCGGATCGACCGCCAGGATCAGAGCTCAAAAAGCCACTGATGTTTCACTGGCATTTCTCCTTCCTTTTTGCAGCTCTACACCCTCGGAGCTCTTAAAAGATGGTCACCATCCTCCCTTCCCTCTGGCCTTGCCCAGATCTGAAGAAGATCTCTCTTCCTTCACGCGATAATCTATCTTCTTGGCTCAACATGCCGCTCTCCAACTACCTCGTTCAGGCGTCCATCGCGGTCTTGTTGGTCATCTTTGGGATCCAGATGCAGACAACTGCCGCCCAGGCTACTCCGCTCACTTGCACCAATGTCGACCAGCCGAACCCCATCTTCAGTCAGTACCCGAATAACGCCACGGGTCTCTTGAACGTCACCATGGTCATCATCCCGATCCCCATGACGACTGCGCGCCAAATCATTCCGCAGCAGTATGGCATTCTCGAGGGCGCATACAGGGCTCTCATGCCAAACTTCCCAGCCGACATGTATCCCGTTGTCGTCCAGGCTGGTCACGATCACGATATTCGTTTTCAGGACTTTGGAATTCCCGACTTTAGTGTAAGTCCTGCTTGCAGCACGTTTCCACCTGGAGAAACTTTACTAACATCGGAAAACAGAAATCTGGCTTTGAGTTCCCCTTTCTGGACCTCCTAGGCGACGGCAAATCATCGTTCCGATGGGCTCCCGAGCAACTGATTTCGGCCTCCAACCCCGCTGCCGTCACCGGCTCCCAAGCGTATGGCACCGAAGTCCACGCCGCCACCTTTACCCCCGAATGCAATGCATACTCGGCTACCGCTGGAGGCGGCACTTCATTCAACGGTACCGCCGGTGACAAGTACATGTCCCTCGAGATGAAGAAGTCATCATGCGGTGGCAAGGCCCCGCCTTACACGCTGTACACGCTGGCCATGTTCGATACCATCATCAACCAGCCCATCTTCGCCAACGGCTCGACCTGCGATCAGCAGATCCGCCTCTTCAACACCTCCGTCACCACCGGAGCCTTTGAGCCTGTTCCCGTACGCGGGACGCTCAAGTCGAATCTTGGACCGTTCCAAACTGATGCTTCCTTCTCCGACGTGGCTGGCTTTCAGGCCGCTACGCCCTTTATCGAAAATAACTATCTTCCTTGCGAAATGTTTAGAGGATATAACCCTGTTAAGACTACTTGATACCCCCTTTCTCCATTGTGGAGGGAGAACTTTTTTTTTTTTTTTTTTTTACAACTTAATTCCTATTTACCCCCTTTTTTCGGCAGTGGTTTGTGGTTTTTGGCCTTTGGCCTCGGCTGGAGCCGATGGGAGGAGACTTTTACGATCTGAATGACGGCATGACGTACATAGTATCGGATGGATGTGAGAAGAAGACTAATAGAGTCTCTTACCCTTTGTGTCAATATACATAGCGTGAGCCGCATGGCGCCACGATATCTGAACACCTTGTTTTCCTGAGATTTGTTGATGTAGACGGATGAAAGATGTAATTGGTTTGGAACCCCCCTTCTCAGCGTTGCAAAACCGAAACCGAGATCATTGCTCTCCAGCGAGACGAATGGGGTAGGTAGCAGCCAGCGTCTCTGGATGCGATTGCATCCGGCGTTGAGCGTTGTATTTCTGCCACCCTCCGCTTTTCGGTATCACCTCCGAATTACGGCTGCGCTGAGAGTTTTTGTTGCCGATGGAGGGAGAATGTTGACTGTTTTCGGCTTGCAGCTATTAAAGACACGCCCGGCAGATGCTTCCCCAATTGCCTGTCACGGACGCTTCCGTACGTATCCACTTTTCTCCCGCCTCCGTCCCCGGGTGAGATTCTCCACTTTCAGGAGAGTCGTGGCAGGATCAAGGCTGAGGCGTCCCGCACTAGCTATATGGCTGATATGGAAGTCATAAATGATGGCGACAATCTATTAGTAGCCAGGCCAAATGAGGAAGAAACAAAAGTAGATCTTGGGGTTGTCCAGCCTGCAAGTAAGTAACGAGACGGGCAGCGATGTTTATTGCAGCGCGGGAAGTCTGGTGAGAAATTTGACATTGTCGCCGGATTTGCTCTGGAGTCGAACTCAAGACGTGTATTATGGTTGACGCGAAGAACTTGATAAAGCGATCTGGGGCAGAAGGGCGTTGTGGCACGTAGATTCTCCGAAATGTGAATGATCGGCCTTCTCCGCGATAGCAGAACTCACCAGAAAGCGCGGAGACCGGACAGTGAGGATGGGGGTTATATCTGCTTTTGATTCACTTGTAAGGACGGGGAGTGAAGTAGGTAGACACTGCACAATGTTGTTCTCGTTGCAGATATTCGTGCCGTTTGGCATCAAAACTCACAGTAATGACTTGTTTTCTTCGACTTTGACTCTTTGCGATGGGTTAAGAATGCAGTGCAGACCGCGTTGCAGACTTGTGGGTTGCATAGTACAGCCCATAGCCTGGTTTGGCCCTCTACGAATTCTCGCTGCCTACATTTGACTCTTTTTTGGAGAGTGTGTCACGCCTTTAAACTGTCTTGAGCCTCTTAAGATGGGTCAAAATCGCAGTGCAATTCGAATTATTGCAATGCCTGCATGAGCTACATGTAATAAGTCACAATCGCAGTAAGTGCCAAAAGGGGAGACAAGATTCGCGCGGAATATTGACCTTGCGTTGAATGGCAAGGCTACGTAGGCTCACTTGGGATGGGTTAGAATCGCAGTGAAGATTTGCTTCCCAAGTGTGGGTCCTTGGCGGACTCGAGATGCGAAATGCAGCAAGGAAGTTGAAGAACCAGCTTCAAAGGCATTCAATCTAGGCCTTAGTATATCCCTCTGACTGAGCTGTTTTGATTTTCTGGAGCTATCGAATGCCGGTGCGCGAATCTAAAGGGACATGGCTAAGCAGAGCGTCGCTTCGGCTTGCGTCTCGACATGATGTGCGGCTTGGCAACAAGCTTGATCATACTCGGTGTAGATCACCTCCGGGAAGCACTACGAATTTACAACATCACAAAATTAAATATGCTAAACCAAATCTCACATAAGCAGCTGTCACTTAAACCATTGCTTTCTTAAACATGAGATAGGTTCATGCAACAATGAGGTATCGGGGCGGGAAGACGGAAAGTAGACGCAGAAGAAGAGGCTATTTGAAGCGGCTGAGAGAATCCATTAATGAATTGGGTTTACATTGCATCACCCACCACAGAGAATGCAATACAGCAGCAGAAAGCGAAGCAACTTTCGTCCTACCTACAAGCAAAGAAGAAGGCCAGAGAACCAAGGGGAGGGATAAGACGGCAACTAGAGACGAAGGATCGACGAATGGCGCGCCTCAGAATGTGACTTTGGACGGAATTCAAAACACGACTGGAAACACTGCAGGGCCTCCGTCCGGGGAGGGGGACTCGAATAATGTGTGAACTACGGGGGCCGCCTGGCGGCTTTAGGATCGCTGAAACAGGCGTTGTCCTGCTTAGTCACACGCTATTCTCACTATTACTGACTCTGTTGTGCTGAAAAAGATGCACTAACAATTAACAATTAGGACTGGAAAGAGAGTCTGGGGCTTGACGGCTTGTTGGGGGGAACATCGACGACCCCTGTCCTGAAACTTCAGCCTCAGACTCTGGTGATATCTGGACATGAGACGACGGGGAACCGAAAACAGGACGGCGTAACGAACCGAGGGCGGTTATTGTAGGCGAGGATGAAGGAGAAACAGGGGAAATGGATGGGGGCAAGATTGAACAAAAGAACGATATGGCCCGTATGGAAGAGCCTTCGCACCTCTTTTTGGTTTTTGCCTCCTCTTCTTACGTCTTCTTCTCTCCTTGGCGCTGGCGCATTGTCTCTAGCATCCAGTGCTTTTTTGCAGGAACTTCAGTCTTTCTAATTCGATTCGATAATTCTCTCTTTCATTGACTTGCTTGCCGCCGGTTGATCCGCTTTGTCTATTTCACTACACATAAAAAAGACACTCATTCGAGAAAACAAAGACAACTCGCCCAAGATGGACATGTCGGACGCAAAGTACGCCAACATCAAGTTCGAGGACCACGATGACCGGAGCAGCACCGAGGTCGAGGAGTCGCTCCTCGGCACCGACGACAAGGCGTGCCGCCGCTGCATGGCCAAGGACTACCACGACCAGCCGGCGAGGAGGAAGAACAGGTGCCTGGCGATGCTCAACTCGTCGCGGTGGTTTGTCGATACGATACTGCTGGTTGTGATCCTGGGCCTGCTGGTGAGGGAGCAGATGCAGAAGCCGCCGGTGAATACGTGGGACTTTGGTGGGGACTTGACTGGTGTTAGCGGGCATTGTGAGTTCATTTCTTTTCGTCGCGAAGATAGTGAGACGACGAGAATGAGGAAATCCGGGTTGCTGACTTGATGAATGTGTAGTCTCCCAGCAGATCAAGACGTTCACGCCGGATTACGAGGGCAAGTACGCGCCCAACGACACGTCAAAATTCTTCACGGATGAGACGTTGAACAACTGGAACGAGTTGATGCCTTGTAAGTAACTCAGTCTTTACACCAGTAAGAGGGTTGCAATTCGCTGACACGAACACAACAGATGGCATGGGCTTCCAGTGGGTGAATGACACGCACAAGTACCACGACCTGCCGACCCCCATCGTCTGGCCCGAGAAGACCGTCTTCACCACCTCCATCACCCACCAGCTGCACTGCTTGGTACGCTCTCTCATTTAGACCTACCCTCTTCGTGTAAATGTTTACTAACATTCCATCCAGTTCGCTGTCGTCCAGACTTACTCTGGTATCAAGTCCGGCCACGAGATTCCCGACGACCATCACTGGCACATGATTCACTGCTTCTCCTACCTAAGACAGACCATCATGTGCAGCGCCGACATGGCTCTTGAGGGTCTCGAGACGACCTTCCCGGATCACAATGGTGGTTCCGACGGTTGGGACTCGAAGCATGGTAAGTCACCGCACATCATAATTGAGATCAAGCAGAGCAGTCGAAAGCTAACAATATGCTCCAGTGTGCAAGGATTACAACCAGGTCAAGAACTACTTGGAGAGCGTCAGGGCGTACGACGACAGAGAGATCTTTTAAAAAGCAGAACAATTAGCACCAGCATCATAGGCATTTCATTTCAAAAACCTACACATTTTTCACTCAAGCTGGATTCTATCAAGCATACCAAAATATGAAGTGAAGTTTCTCATATGCCCATTCACAGACTCTCGCACTGAACTAGGTAGCCTCCTCATATTCGACACGATGAACGGCTCTCCCTAAAACCTCCTTCACAGCTGGCTCTAGATCGGGGAGCTTGCTCCAAGGCTGCCGCATAAACTGCGAAACATGGGATTCCTCCAGCACCTCAGCCGGCGTCATCAGTTCCCACTCCGGCAGCTCAACCTCGGGTAGCGGCACACAGATACCGCATCCACCGGACCCCCAGCGACAATAGCAGTCATTCCCATCCACGCGGCCGGGGTCGCCGTACCCTTCCCACACCTCCCGGTCCATCATCCGGCCCGTCCAGACCTGCCGCTCAAACTCGCGACTGGAACGCCAGACCTGCGCCCACTTCACGTCGTCCATGCGGAAGACGTTGTTGATCTTGGTCGAAAAGAATGACATCTGCCAGTGTAGGTCATTCCAGACTTTGGCTGGGAGGCGGTCGTCGTCCCACTTCCACTTCCACCAGCCGCCTTGTGACTCCGGGTGTGAGGGCAACCGCCATCCGACGCAGTCGTTCTCGATGAACTCGTACGTATTGGACACGCAGGCCATGGAGGCGGCGCGGACGGACATCTCGGGAAGTAGACGGGGGTGCGGTCCCAGGACCGGGTTGCCGTCTCTGTCGTACACGACGTTGGGGTTACTGCACCAGGCACGCATCTCGCCGGACAGAAACGACGGACACCTCGAGGCCCTGACGCGGGCGACGGCCCAGTACGCCGACTTGAGGAAGCGGGCCTGCGTGTGCGACTCCATAGCCAAGAACTCCCCCATGAACGATAAAGGCAGGCTGCACATGACGGTCAAGAACCGTGACATTGCATGCATGGGCTGCGCTTCTGCCGCAGGCTTCCGCTTCGAGGGATCCTCCCTCTCACGCTTGTTCCGCGGTGCGAAGCGGATGCGTTCAGAACGATATATCGTGGCATGCCACGCGTCGAACCCGGCGCGCGCGAGGGGCGCGGGGAGACACTCATCCATCTGCCTACCCAGGTCAGCGCGGTCATCGAGAAGCTGCGCACGGAGGGTAAAGAAGTCGTTTGAGTGCGGGATGTCCCACGCGGGGAGGAATGGTTGGCGAAGGTCGTAGGGGTTCCATTCCCACTGGAGGCCGACGGCGTCGCCGTTCCAGACGGTCTCTTGGTGCCTCTTCCTACACGCCGCTTCGGCGCGGCGGACCTCATCCGTCTCGAGGTACTGTTCGATGGTATCGCTAAAGGCTCGGAGGAGATCGCTCACGGGGATGGCGTACTCATTCAGCGTGGCTTTGAAGGCGCAAACGACCTCGACGAACTCGTCCTTGCTGTCCCAGCGCTTGAAGATTTCCTCGGCGCGCGCGAGACGGGCTTCGTAGGTTTCGCCCGCGGGGCCGCGGACCACGCCTTCCACCATCGTATCGTTGCGTGATTGCCATTCTGCGCCGCGGGGGTAAAAGGGCTGTTGGTAGTACGCTCGCCGGATGAACTCGAGCCGGAAGAAGGCGCGCTGGAGCTTTGCGCGGTTCGTCTTGGTCATCAGGACGCCCTCCGATACGGGCCCTCGTTCCTCGTCGTGGGCCGTGTGCCGTTCAAAGGCGTAGATCAGGTTGTTGGGGTTTTCGGTGCCGTCATCCCTGCACAGGGCGGAGAATTTGGGCTTGAGCGTCGTGATGTCGGGGCCCCATCGCTCGTCGGGGAGTTCGTCGGGGCGGCGGTCCTGCCAGCTTTCTTCCCACTCTTCAAAGGAGGCGTAGACCTTTTGAGCCTGTGAGACCCTGTCTAGGAGCTGGTCCATGGTCTTGACGAGCTGGCAGAGGCCGGTTAGGTCCCATTGTCCGCGTTGTGTACACGGAGACTTACTCATTTGGGGGCTGGCGCTTGCGAATGCTCGAAGATAATAGGAGATGGTCAGTCTGGCCCTGCCAGAGATAGATCCTACAACACCTTCCGGGGGCGGAGGCCAGTCCGCCACGGTGCCGTTGGCGTAGTCTTCGTCAAAGGCGCTTCTGGCCGTCTTGCCCGGATGTTTCAGGCGGCGATCGACGCAGCAGATGGCATCGGACCAGGCTTCTGGGGCGATGTGTTTCCGAAGAATCTGTACCATGTTGTCTTTGAAGACCTTGCGGAGTGTAGGGTTCTCTTCGCAGAGGTCCTCGACGTCTTGTATAGACTTTTGCGCTAGCAGCTCTTCGAGCAGGACTTCGACATTTGTCGGAGGGAGTGGCGGTAGCGGCCGAGGGAATTGCGGCAGAGTGTCCCAGAGGGGGATCGCGTGGTTAGAGACGGCGTTCCTGAACGGTCCGAATAAGATGTCTGCTGGCCTTTGGAAGAAGGAGTGTCTTTGGACCTGGAGCTCACTGGGTGTTTCCTCCGCAGGACGGCCTTCCTCGATATGATGATCGTAATTGATAGGCTGGTCCTCCTCGGCGGAATGATGTTCGTCGATGGAGTGGTTCTCACTGGATGACTGATCTTCACTGCCGGCGTACTCACTAAAGGAGTTGTGCTCGTCATGAGAGTGATCTTCGCTTGAGCTATCCATGATGATTCTTTTACAGTTCAGTGTCTACTTTTTGATTCTGATAGGTATTGCTACAGAGTAAGACACGTTGGATTCGATGTTGACTGAAGATATAGCCGGTAACCTGAATGGATGCCAATACAAGGCATTGTCGACACCGATTCCTGTCCTTGTATTGTTTGTTTGCGTGTCTTTGTCTGGAAAGTCCTCAGTGGTCAAAGAGAGATTATTCTATTGCACCCATGCCTCAGAAAGAAGAATGATGCCCAAGTGGCCGCGCGGACCAAGTGTTTTGTTGGCATGCTGTTGGTATAAGACGTGCAACGCATCACTGTCAGAACAATGCCTTGTTCAATCAGCATGAAACTTGAGTCTTGTCGGGACTCAACCTCTAGCTCTGTCTGGGATCATTGCTCATGATGAAAAGACTCTTTCTCACAAAGGCAGTCGAGCATGGTGACGCTCAGCCTTTGTCTGGTCTAGGTATGGCCCGAAACTTGCCCAAAGAAGGCTCATTTCGTGACCCTCGGGGATGAGACGTCACTTAGACGGAACGATAAAAGTCCTTCATCTTGATGTTTTTAGCCCCATTGACTACAAAGTATGAGACATATCGTTGCTAGAAGGAATGATCCCCTGTAATCAAAATCAAAATGATCTCTATTATGTATTAAGTTAAAGTAGTGTTTCTAATTTTTTTCTTTTTGCTTTGATGAAGAACCACGCGTGGCTTCACCTATGTCAGAGCCAAGGGCAGAGTGAATTGCGTCAACTCCTTACTCCCAAGTAATGTCATCCAACGACTCATCAAAGACGTCGTAGTTGACATCATCCTGGTAAGCAAGCAGCTCATCAGAAGGCAACAACAAGTCTCCATCGGCGTCAAAGAGCGTGTCATCGAACTCGACGTCGAGCGGGTCGCTGTCGTAAGCGTCCGAGACATCGTCGCCGTAGTCGGCCCACTGGCCGAGCTCACGGTTGGTAATGCCGAGGAAGAGGAGGTAGCACTCGTCAACCTCACCGTTGGTGACGGTGTAGGTGAGGTCCGGGGACTTGAGCATCTCGAGGCCGGCATCGACGTCTTCGCCGACGAGATAGATCTTGGCCGTCTGGTCGCCCTTGTAGGTGCAGACGGCGGGGAAGAAGATGTTGTCTTCGGGATCGATGGCGGCAAGGATGCTGGCGGTGCTGTCATTGTCGTCGTAGTAGAAGGGGGTGAGTGCGCTAGTGTACGCGTTAGAACTTGAAGGATTAAAACTCCCGACTCAAGGAAACTTACACATAGACTGAGGTTCCGGGGAGATTGGCCTCATCTCCGGAGCGGAGACGGCTGACGCCGAGCTTGTCCATGGTGTTGTTGTAGTAGTGCAGCACCTCGCCAGTCGGCGTGGAGAGAGCGGCCTCTCCGTAGCCGGCCCAGAGGGTGTTGCAGGTGATGTAGTAGGGGAGCTCGTTCTGGGTCGTGTTCTTCTGGAGGTAGACGTTGCCGTCGCTGCAGGCGGCGAGAACGTAGCTGTTGTCGCTCTCGAGGGCGAGGGTGCTGAACCAGTATCCGTCAAAGGCCGCCTCATCGAGGTCGTAGGGAATGGCGGCGAGGTCGGTGCCGTTGAAGCCGAGGTACTCAATCTCCTCGACGACGTACTTGGTCAGGTCGGCAAGCTGGGTCGAGTTGGTGGTGGAGTTCGTGGGGACGGAGACGTTATTTGCGTCGCGACGGTACTCATATCTGTTGTAGGGAGTGGAAGGCAGGGAGCGCTTGTCATCGTGGAGGCCGAGCTTGCCCTTGCTTGTACCATCCGTCTTGTTGCTGTTCAGTTGTTAGCATGGTACTTGCTCTAGGTGTCTCAAGGATTATGATGAACATCTTCACTTACCCAATGCAGTACGACGCAATGATGTAGTCCTTGGTCTCGTGGACGGGCCAGTCCTTGTCGAGGAGCCCGAAGCCCTTGAACTTGGCCGTGACATCATTGCGAACACTGAGTGTAGTGCTGATGCCACTGCAGTTGTTGAGTGGCTTCAGTCCAGCCTCGATACCGTCGGTGCCGTTATTCCACTTGGCTTGGACAGCAATGGCTGCAGCGGCCTTGATGGATGGCATGGTCTCGATACCAATGGAGCCCTTGCACCTGGTGCATCCGCTGAAGGTGGTGACGCCAAATTCGAGGCCGACGGGGATGCCGAACTGGGCGGCGATCTCAACCTGGCCCTCGGCCTCGAAGCTGGGCTTAAACTCGGGCTTAAAGCCAATGGACTTGGAGCCGCCCTTCTTCCAGTCGTAGACAAACTTCGCTTTGGCGATGCTGACGTCGGCGCGAGCAACGGCGGTGCCGGTCATGTTGAGACTGAACTTGACCTCGGTACCGATGGAAAGCATGGGGCCGACAGTGACGAAGCCGAGGGTGAAGGGCGAGAGGGGGATGTCGTACAGGTTGTTGCGGAACTTGTGCTCCTGGTAGTACTGAGCGTAGATACCGATGCCGAGACCGACAGAGATATCGATGTCGCTCTCGATGTAGCCATCGGTGATACCCTTGATGTTCTCGATGGTGATGTTGCCCTTCGTCTTGAGGGATCCGGAGAGACCGCACTTGACACAGTAGAGGTTGATGAAGTTACCCTTGGTGACTGTAGTCTGCTTCTTGGATCCCTTGGGACGCAGGTCCTTGGGCGAGGGAATGGTGCCAAACGACTTGAGCAAGAGAGCGTCGTCACCCCAAGGGGTCTTGACGGCCTTGGCCTCGCTGTCCTTGTCCTTATCCTGCTTCTTAGGCTTGCACGCGTTCTTGAGCTTCTCCTTCTTGTCCTTGTCGTTCTCGGCCTCCTTGCACTCCTTGGCAGGCCAGGGGAGGAGGAGCTTGTCAAAGTCCTTCTCGAAGCGGTTGGGCTTACCCGCGAGGATGTTGCCACCAACCTCGACAACGGTCTTAGCGACCTCGACGACCTTGGCGCCAACCTTGACAACCTTTTCGCCCGTCTTGACGACGTTGTTCTTGGCGGCCTTGGCTCCGGTCTCGATCTTGTTGCCGAGGTTGACGACGCCGCTCTTAATCGCCGGGCCGATCTTCTTGAAGCCGTTACCGATGTCCTGGAAAACGGTAATACGTCTGGCGAGGGTCGAGTCGGTCAGCTCGCCATCGATGTCAACCTCGGAAAGGGTCTCGTTGAAGCTGAAGACATCAGACTCGAAATAGCCGAGCTCTGTGTCGAGGTCATCGTCGAAGTAGGGTCCCAAGCATGCCGTTGGGAGACCGTACTTCTCATCCACGGGAGCTACACAAGCAGCCGTCATGGTAGGAGCAACGGAGTACGCCGGAGTCACGTCAGTCTCAGTTGCGGTGGGTTCAGCGGTAGCTGCAGGGTTGCCGTAGTTGACGTTCTGGCTGCCATAGTTTCCCCACACAACATTGATATCCTTGGTGACATCACCAATGTCCTTAGCCTGTCCTGCAGCAGTGGCGGAGAGGGAGTTGCGGTCAAAGGTAACAGAGTTGGCCTGGAAGTAGCATCTCTGGCCCAGATCGTAGTCACCGCACTCAGGCGTGTAAGTGACGAAGATGATGTTGTCTGCCTTCCAGTTGGACGCGCTGTGGTCAAAAGCATTCTTGTCACCAAAGGTCATGACCAAGTTGCCTTGGCCCGAGAGCTTGACGTCGGTGACGAGACCAGAGTGGTCGAGAACGATGGACGGGGCAGTCCACTTGGGGGTAGCAACAGCATAGATGCCACCTCCATTCGAGCCGGCATCTTGCGCGTAGTGGATCGGAGCACCAGCGCCGCTAGGCTGAGGAGTGAGGTTGTTGACATCGTTGAGATCGTGGTTGTCTGGGATGGCAGGCTTCAAAGTCGCGATGGGGCCGAGCTTCGAGGTCGGAAACTCGTACTCCGTGCTGGAGGAAGCGGCCGTTGCGGCAACAACATCACCAGAGGCAGATGCCGTGCCGGTGGCCAACGTGAGTGTGCGGGTTGAGTTGGCTGGAGGGTGGAAAGTCACACCGGTGCTGAGGGGCACAGACACAGATGCAGTCCGGGTAAGGGAGTTGCCAGACTGGCCCGAGACAAAAGTCTCGTTCCTTCGGTTGAGATAATTGCGCTGGCCTGGGTGTGCGAGGGCACCGGATAACCCAAGCAGGGGAAGGGTAAGAGACCACTTCATGATGAAACGAGTGTGAGGGATGATTTAGATCAAAAGTCTGTAGTGATGAAAACAATCCTGAAAGAGGAACGAGTGTGGTCAGCTAGGTATAGCTGGTGATAATCCAAAGTGATAAGAGACAGAAACAGAAGCAACTCAAGCCATGAAAGAGTGAATGGCAGAGAGGAGTTGGTTGAAGGACAAGAGTCGAATCCGGAAGCTGAGGACGACGATCTCTGGATTATATGGCAATTCGCCTTTCACGAAGAATTCCCATCCTTCGACCTGCCGAAATTTCGAGTCAGACTTGCCTTGGTAAAAGACCATCGTCTAACACCGCGATAAGTCGACGTTGACAGCCGCATCGGGGGACCATCTCGTTTGGGTCTAAGTGAGGACTCTAAGTTCCAGGCGAGGCTCAATCGAACGACAAGAGACACCATCTCATGCAGTAGTCAGGGGGTAGTTCTTCAGTGATTCAGGAAAGGGTATTGTCTTTCGCTATTGCCGCGAGCACTAGTCCCCTTACTTCGTTAGCGGCCGGAACCTAACCAAATAGTCGGTACTGTGGCTCAACATCGCGTGGGTTGTCAAAGGCGCCGGCCGATCAGATCGACGTTTGGTTGGTCGCACAACGACATGTGGCGGCCAAGCCTCTCAGCCGCAAACCCCCTGAGTAACGATTTTGCGCACGCCACGAACGGTGGCCGCAGCAAATAGTTCGCAAAGATGTTGGCTTTCTCTGTCAAGCCTGCCCGTCAAGGTTCAAGGAGAATCAGTGCGGCACGGCAACCGGGGACTTTGAAATGTCCTAGCTTGTGCGGTCAACGAGTGTCATCTCGATCCATCAGGTTGGTAATCGAGTGGGACGAGCAGTCTAAGCTTCAATGGATTAAGGTAAGAAGCCACGTGGGGTCGCCGAATGTCTGGCGTCGGATTCTCAGTGCTGCAACAAAAATTGGCTTGCCGAGTAACCATTTCGGGCGCTTCAAGCATATCCTCATAGTAGTAGAATATGAGAAGCACGCGCGGCAAGTCAATGTCGGATGAATAATTTAGGCGCCTCTTGCCCGATGACTTGGAGAATTTCTCAGATGCTGTTTAGCATTCATGTTCTGTGAGGTTGTGTGGACTCTGCTGATTGACTTGGTCATAGTGCTCAAGCCATCGAAGACAAGAGTCGGAAGACATAAAGACTTCAACGAGACGGGTGGGCTTGTCTATCGAACCAGACACTCAACTACTTTTGTGGACTGTTCGCATTTCCTGTTGATTACTCTCTCTCCTTCATCCATCAAAATCGTTGCTGGGACCAGTGCGGCCGTGCGTTCAAGTCGGCCAAGCCTGGCTGGACTAATGCAACAACTGCATTAGAATCAAGTTCATTCTAAAGGGAATGAGAAAACAGAAGGTCTGGCTCCATCAGTTGGATTTCTCTTGGTTCCCGTGTCAATACCAATCAATTTGCGCAATGTTGATGCTATTTCCAGCTTTCTCTCCCGAAATTGAGTTGCTGCCTGCGTGAAATGGGACCAGGATTGGAATCCTGCAAGTGCTGGGACAGCGATCGCTTATGAATCGCACCATGGCATGTACCCCCAACTATTGCAGTGCTGGTTCAGCGCTCCCGGAAATAAGCTTCTCTTCCGAAGAGGCCCGGTAAGCAACTAACATGAAGCGACCATATGCGGACTCTGGCCTCAAATACTTACTCACACTACCTGTACATGTACGGATCTATGTTCGTCATTTTCGATACAACGGTCTCAATTGAAGGCTCTCAAATCAGATCTTTCAAAGATGAATAGCATCGAAGTGTCTTACACGTATAGACAGTGGCGTCATAGTACGATGTCCACTCCCGTCCCAAATGTGGTGGCGCTGTGCCGCATACCAAAGTCCCAAAACGCACGCCACCATGGCTGAATGATACTGGACCTAGCAAGCTGGCAGCAAATATCGGACTCTGGGACGTGGTAGGGGTCATGCAGGGCAGCAACACAGCGGCGGAGTGGTTGAAACCTCAAGATCGACAACTTCCCTCGGTGCTCGACGACTCAACGTGAGAACACCATTAGCGCGGCGCGTCTAACTGCATGTTCCCTGGCATCAACACTACGCGCTTGCCCAGGAATGTCTCTTCTGCAGCCAGGCAGCTCCTGTGGCAGTGTTAGAAGCAGCCGAAATGACATCAATCATGCTGACAGCGAAGCAGGCTGGCGGCCGACCTCAATCCCTGTCACACTCCATCAGGCTGCACGGCGTGGTGCAGGCTGACCGGATGTGAGATCTCTGATAAACCCGATGACGCCGCATTTGTAGAATTTCAATTATCGAACGAGCTATCCAGTGCTTCTTGACCATCTGTGCGCAATGTCTTGAGCACTAGAACAAGACACGACCGCATATGTCGCTCCAGAACGCATACGAAAGCCGACAACCATGGACTCGCCAAAAGAGAACGGAGAAGATACCTTATCAACATCAACGAGATCATTCGCCCCGCTGCTTGTCGAAGATAGAAAACCACTCAAGGAAGCCACGCAATTCAAGTTGACCAAGTTTCGGCAGCGGTTGTGGGATAGGAGGCAATGGAAGAAGGCGTCGCTGACTACATGGGAAGATTTTCGCCAGCGATTATGGGATCGCAGGCAGTGGAGAGAGGCCTTCGTTTCTGCGTTTAGAGACATTCGAGCTGTTCACTGGTACGCGGTCCTAGCATGGATATTGGCTCTGACGTGGATTGGAGGACTCTGCACCGTGCTGGCGTTCATCAGCAACGCAGAGCTATATGGCGACTCCGCCTGTAAACCTGACGGCAGTTTCGACGTGGAGATGAACCAGTATAACCTTTGGTCTTCCTCTGGATTCTTTCAGATCACCCTGGCATGGGGCAGATTTTCCTTTGCGGATGCCAAAGTCATTGACGTCGCTTGGGATGTGGTAAGATGACGGATAACTCAAAATGCATGTGCCTTTTGTTCGTCGACTGACCAGCCACTCGCAGATCTTCGGTCGAGGAGGGCAGGCTCTGCTGACCTGGATCACATGGAGAGTTTTTGCCGACTACACGACGACCTCAATACAAGTGAAGCCCGTGACGTACGACTTTTTCCGCAACATATTCCTCCAGGACCAACCAAACTTTTGGTCAACGTGGCACATGATACGAGACTTTGCTCGTTCACGAGGGCTCAGATCCAAATTAATGATGGTTATCATGGCCTTGGTCACCATCTTCATCCTATGCTTCCCTACCCTGGGCAGTGCAATGACGGGCTACGTAGCGAACAATGACGCATATGTTCAGGGTTCCAACGGCATGTTGATACCCTTTGATGGCTTCGAGGTCGTTGGATATGTAATCCACGATGGCTGGAGGATCGGTATGGAGGGCAACACCACCCTCACTTTCCCTGGTCGTGAGTGCTTTTCTCAGGGGACCTTCCCGTGAACGCTGAGCCAGCGCTGACTTTAGACAAGACTCTAGTTCCAACACTTACAGTAGCGCAAGCTCATGGGCACGCCTTCTCGGTTGCATAGAGGACGATAAGAGCTACTCTGACTACTCTACTACCTGGTGGAACTTTGACGAGTCTACGCCAAAAACCCAGAGATGTTCGTTGCATCGAAACGTTTCAAACTGTACGTATAGTTGTCTCACAGTAATAAAACGAAGTGTCGACGATCCGCAGGACATTGCGATGCTAATATGTTCCCTTTTGGCAGATGTACAAGAGTACGGATTCTACGGGTTGAAAAACGAGAAGACCACTTGGATGAACGAGACTATGCCAGCTCCGGCCCTCAACATATCGGCTTCCGGTCTTCCTTCATACAGGAACCTGCTGTACGGTTGGAACTGGACAGATCCTCGCACGGGCTTGATGCCCTTCCAAGACGAAAAGAACTTGACCTACACTGCCGGGAACGAGACCTACTCCAAGGAATACATGAAGGCGTACGGGAGTTGCCAGCCAATGAGCGATCACGGACTCGGCGCCGATGCCGGGCGAGAGAGCTACCAATGGGGCTTCTCCTACCTGCAACTTTACATTCTCGTCCTCTTGCTCGTGCTGTGGACGTTGAGTCTTGCTTACATGTGGTTAAAGGCACGATTGACGATGAGGATGCGTCGGCGGTACGACGTGCCGAGGGGCTATAAGGGCGTCTTGGAGCTGTCGGGGGCCATACGCAAGGAGCTGCAGGAGACCGACCCGGACGAGCTCTCTCATGACCAGCTTTCGGAAGAAATCAACAAAAGCCTAAAGGGCGGAAGAATTCAGTTAGAGTTGGCAGACTCGCCTGCGACATATGGCATCTGGAGGGCGATTTGGATATGGTCCAAGGAGGAAAAGTGGTGGGTAGGTCCCGTCTTGTTGATGTTGGCGCCATCGGTGCCGCTCATGGTCATTAACAATTCGTTTGGATGGTGGCTGTTGGTGCCGATGAGCTCTCTCTTGCTTGCTTTGATGGTAGGCCGGTCAGAGAAAAGCAGGATCGTCATCGCTCTCGTGGGTTTTATTATCGGAACGATCACGTTCCTAGGAGTTTGGTATGGAACTGAAAGTTACAGATGCGGCAGCATATATGACTGTTATTATTATCGTTGAATAGATACCCCGTGGAGTTGAATGCAATCTGATTAGATATTGCTGGTCCAACTCTTGCGCGACGTCGTCGACTACCACAGCCTCTGTGATGTGGAAGCGATGATCCAACGGAGTGACTGCGCCATATGGACCCCTTTATCATCCTCAGACACATAAAGGAGGCAGGATCGATCATCAGTGCCCACAAATGTCACAGAATAACGACGATCCGCTCACAAACCCCAATCAGAAACTCATTCTGTACATTCGCATAGGTAACCAGGGTCATATGTTTCATGCCTCAAGAAGTGAATTATCATTACTCATCTATCCTCAAATACGCTAAACAGGAGAAATATGTGGATTAACCCTCGTGCTGTTCGCACGTGTGCTCGTCGGTGAGACGGCCTCGCTGAATCCCGACAACTGTTTCTTCAGTGTCGCTGGACTCGGCACCCAGTCGCTCAAGCCGGTGTCCTTTCGTTTGATGGGAGGTGGATTTGTTGGTGGGATGACGATCTGGGGGTGTGGAGGCTGCTGAAGTTCTTGAGGAGACTGTGTAAGTTGAGAGTGCGGCGACGTGTCTGCAAGCTCGTAACTCTCGCCTGGCTCCTCGAATTGCTGATAATACGCGGCGCTCTCGCCTTGAATAGAGTTCTGCCGGGGCCACTCCGACTTGTATGCCGGCGCGGGTTCCGCTAGTTCGGCTCGTTGTTGTTGGTGGCCTACGGCGTGGCCGAGGTCGCCTTCGAGTTCCATATGGCCATCGGGATTCGCGTGGTTAACATTGTGATAGCCGGCGAAATTGGTTGTAGAGGACTTGGAGTCTGGGGCGTCGCGCTTCTCCGATCGCGGGATGGAGCGAGACGCGCCTGCAAACTGCCCGTTTTGCTTGGGTTTGCGATTCTTCAACCAGAACCACATTGCGACAAAGAAGATTAGGGCGGCACCGATGGCTACCGGAACGCCTACTTTGACGCCCAGGGCGGCTTTGTTACCGCCGCTCGAGGATGAGGTGCCGTTACATGATGATGTGATGTGGTCTGGTAGAGTGCCGTTGGCTACTTGCGGGCTTAGCCAGAATTTACCCGCGTCATAGTCGACGTGGAGGTAGTTCTGCGACAGGAAGACGCCTCCGAGGATGGGAATGTTGTCACCCAGATCGCTCATACCTGAGGCAACCGAGGTGCTGATCCTGCTGTTGTTGAGCACAGCATATCTACCACGGGCATCCGTGCCGCGTACATGGCTGACCAGTTCGTAATGAGGGATGACGCTTGTATAGCCGTTGGATAGCTTGATGGTCAGGGAGCCGAGGAGGGACTCACGGTCCTTGGGGAAGTCGGATTCTCCAAAGGCCATGCCGTCAGTCGTGGTGTGGTTACCGAGGCTCTGGAGCTTGGCAAACATGTTCTGCGTGAGGGTGAAGCTGTTCTGCACTGTATCAATACAGGCAGCCACCTTGACGCCCGGGTCGAAGAGAGAGTGATCGCCGTCAGTATTGGTGAGGACGATGTCGGACACGAGAACCTGGAGAGGGCACGGGACCGGGGCGTTGGCTCCCCACATGCTGAACTCTGCAACCTGGGACTCGTTGTAGCGTGCTTCGTTGTAGCCGCCGATGACTAGCTGGCCGTCGCGAGGGTGAAGCTCTGATGTTGAGCCGTAGTCCAGGCTGAAGCTTGTCGTGGGGGCCAAGTCGTTCCTTACGAAGCTGTCTAGGGTGGACGAGTTCGGACCGAATGCGATGGCGCTTTTGTTCATGGAGTCATAATCGGCCCATACCTCGAAGGGATACCCATAGGCTACGGCTGGAGCATCGGTGAAGTTTGCGACATCGTATCCATGGAGTACCGTCGTTTCACCATCTTCAGGCTGAGCGTCGATTGTTCTAGAGGGGAGTCAGTCATGTATCTCGGACAACTCGGCTAGGTAGATACCATACGTTACGTTCCAGTCCTTGATGTTGACGACTTGGCTGAATGTGCCTCCTGTGGTGTCGTATACACTGCCCGAGGCTCCTTGGCAGCCGACGAATGCGTATGTTGAGTTGTCCGGGCAGTCCAGACTATTTCTAACTCGCGTGTTGTTTAAGATGGTGGACATGCGCATGCCTTGAACCTGGCCACCAAGCGTGAGCTTGAGGCCACGATTGGCACCGATGCCATTGGGAAAGGTAACGTTCTGGAGAGAAAGTATGTAAGTCAACAAGAGCTACAGTCGCACACGGCAACACACACACACACAGACACTCGAAACACACATAGACACACACCCAAAGGAAGTAAAACGTGATGAAAAGTGAATGAATGACTCGTGAAGTTGTTCCTTACTTTTATGGGTAATACTAATGGGTCAGTAGAACTTGAACAAGAATCGTCCGCGAGCGCGGAGTAAGAAAGGACGCTGGCCAGCAGGAGCGCCGCCCAAGGCGACGAGGTCAACATCACGAAAGTTCGCGATATAGGATGCTGCTGAATCGAAGCATGACGGGCAGATGAGCGGGCTCGATTCAGGAAGGGGGTTCAACGTTGGACCGCATTGTGGTTTTGACGGGCAGGACGAGCCCCCTTTTGAAAGCTCTTGTCTGCCCACCTGCCATCACCCCGGGCACGTTGCAATATCGAGATAGTTGACACCCTGGAGTCGTGCCAGGTTACCTAGCCGGAAGTGGCAGACGAAACCCACCCGTGAAGTCCCTGGTTATTAGAAGGGGCTCATGATGTTCCACTTTTGCCAACTCTATCCCCGCTCCAGCCCGCGTTGGGGCGGTTGCGAGATGCTTCGGAATGCACTCCGTAGACACTATTCTGATGTTGACTCACACCAAATTTCGACTACACTAATTGATGAACATATCCCCCCAAGCAAAGTCTAAACAACTAGAGGCCATGACCATATACCGCAACTAAAGATCTTATCTCGACCAGAAAAGTTCAGACGACTGAAACGTAGTTGCGTGGCCGATTCTCGCTGTTGAAGGGGTACACTAGTCATGAACCATGTTCGAAGCCTCCACGACGCCTGCACTCTGGATTTCTTGGCGCACGAGCCCCATGGTAAGATTAAGGTCGTATTTTGGAGCGTTCGGGACAAGCCAGGAAGCATGCCTGGCGTGCCTGGCAAGGCGTGGGAGCCGTCGTTGTACGTAGTAGTGGTGGTGCCGTCGTGGTGGTCTCTCCAGCGATAGCTCATTCCCGCGATCCGGCGCCTCCAGCGAATCGCTCTCCCCGAACCGCAGACCTGGACAACCCTGACAGGATCTACGCCAGCCGCCCTCGCAAATGCCGCGCGATCAGCGTGGCTTCCAGCAGGAAAGATAGATGAGTATCGTCTCACTTATGTTGAGTCTAGCTGGTTCAACCCCGGGAAATAAATGTTCATAGGGCTACAACTCTCCGGGGCGAGAGTCTGTTGTTTATGGATTCATGTTCGGTAGGAAAATTCCAAGACACCGCGTATCGTAAGCGAAACCTGCGTAGACGCAGAAAGAGACTGAAAGGAGGAGAGACGGCCCATCAACTGAGAGTGCTACAGGGATATGCTTTGCCTCGCATTCGGGATCCCCTTGCCTCATGGCATGTGGGAGGCTGTTGTTCCGCATTCCGTGCTCCGGAACAGACCACGTCCTGATCCTCGCGCTCGTCAGTGTCAACTGTCGGGAAGAGAAATCCACTGAGCCAAAAGACTGGAAGAGGGAAGTCAAACAATTTGGACTTTATTAGGCGCGAGTTGCCAATTTGCCACTGCCAACTTTGGACGACAAGCGCCTGGACCGTTGTGCTAGCAAGGATTGATGGTGGTTCTCCCCCTCGGCCCCCGGATCGTTCCATAGAGGTGAAGAAGATACTAGCAGCGAATAACCATGACGAGATTACGTTTGCAATGGGAAGAAATCATCAATCGCATTGTCCGAGCGTTGGCAGTTGAGCACGTGGTCATGGCTTGAGCCTTGAGGAGTTATGCTGCCAAACATATCGCTGAATTCATCGGGCAAAACGGACCGTAAGCAGCGTTTAAGGGACGAGATCGAAGGATATCAGTGCCGGTCCACTTTTCTACAAAGTTCAGAAGCAAGCTGAATTTTCCAGACTAAAGATTAGGCTGACCTCGAAACAACAACATAAGTACTCAAGTAAGCATCAATGCAAAGAATTCGTGTATGTACAATAAACCAGACTGTTGACTTTCGCTCTTCTTTCGACAGACCCATATGTCCATCCAGTAATTTGGTACGTAACAAGCTTGGTCCATAGTCTATCTCCTCTGTGTGGAAACGCTGGGGAAGGACATGGAACAAAGATGCGCGTGGTCGGTCTGAAGGCCCATTGTTTGCCAGCTTGGTAGCGAAATCATTTCGGGTTTCCAACTTTTCGGCTTCAAGTTGCAGGCCATCGCAGGAAACTGTCTCGTAATGAATAGCTTGGGTGTGATTTTGCCCCGTCAGGTTCGTTCTTGGCCAGTGCTGAGTGCCAGGAGCAACCCTTCGAGGTTTACAAGGTGCAACCAACCCATCGACGGAGCTCCGCACGCGACTGAGTTTGACCCCACGCTGCGAGTTGCATGAGACATTCTTAGCATTACTCAAGTAAGGGAATAACCAAGTTTGAGTCGGCTTTCACAATTATAGCTCACAGCCTTGAGCTGTGCTACAGAATTGACGATGCACGGCTTCTCCCTGAATACATAGACCCCAAATTTTCCCACCTCACCAACCATTGGCCTCCGATCAACGGAGGTCGCTCCGGCTCAATGGTCTAGTGGTATGATTCGCCCTTCGGGTTCTGTACCAACCCTTGCGCAGAGCGTGAATGGGCGAGGTCTCGGGTTCGAATCCCGATTGAGCCCTTGCTGTTTCTTTTGTCGATTTTTGCACCATCATTACACAAACTGTTTGAAGGTCGTTCAGTTGAAATAAAGGAATTGAGTTCTGTGGTTGGAGTCGCCAGGCTCAAATCTCCGCATATAATTGGAGATATAGATCTTATCCAATCAGCTGTTGGGACGAATGTGGTAGCTTGAAGCTTCAAGCCCCTCATCAACCACCGCAACCTACCTGGCCTTCCTGACATCCCGCTTGATGTCCATTTTTCGATGTCATTATGGCATCAAGCTGTGTAACGCCGTCATCGAGCCCAAAAGCATTGTGTAACGAGTGCTCGGGCATCGTTTTTGATGACGCCGAGGGAGATGTTCGTGATGCTGCGCACTGGGAGAGAAAGGATAGCTACCCAAATCTTCCACTTTTTCGTAACTCGGCTGCAGCGGGTTGTTCTTTCTGCGAATATCTTTGCTTTGTACTCGATGAGAAGCTCCCCAAACCCCTTCAAATTGCATTGCAAGAGTCTACGACGAAAGATGTGGTAGCTAAGCTATCCTCGCCTGCTTACGTGATGCGTTCCGACATCATCGACGTCACACGCGATTGGATGCCCGATGACTACGGTATCGAACAAGACGGGATATACTGGCTTGATTTCAGGTTTGAGTCTGAGGCTTGGCGTAAAGGACCGTGGTCCGAGGGGTGGAAAGTGCGGGCTATTGCGTATCAAGGAGAAGATGGTATGTGTCTCTTAGCCTTAGCCGTCTTAATGACTTCTTGCAAGGCCACAAGAACAATGACATTCTGCTAACATTACGAAAACCAAAAGAAAATGTTGCAAGTGCCCTCGGTATTGAGTTGAAACTCCCCATCACGAATGCTCTCGCTCCGTCTTGCATGAAACGCCTCAAGGAGTGGGTTTGGGGCTGCGCGAGCAACCATCCGGAATGTTGCTCTCCAGGGCCAAGAAGCCTCCCGACTCGGCTGATTAAAGTTGGAGAGATGAGCGACGGAATAGCTCGCTTGGTCATGAGTGACAAACTTCCTCCAACGACATCGTACATTGCTCTGAGCTACTGCTGGGGCCCTCCATCCGTCAGTAAATCACAGCTCATCACCACAGCGGCCACTCTGGCAGACCGCCAGACGAAGATCCCACTTCCCAAGATGCCGGATACAATCAGAGATGCAGTCGTATTTGCGCGTCATATGGGGATCAAGTACATCTGGATCGATGCTCTATGCATTATCCAAGACGACGCCGAAGACTGGGCCAAGGAGGCCGCGCTCATGTTTGCTGTATATCGGCATGCTACTCTCACACTGGTAGCAGCCGCAGGCGATACCTCTCACTCGGGTTTCCTGAAAAGAAGTAGTCCCGGGCCGTCGGTCCTCGTCCCGTTCGAGTCTAAAAAGGGACAGGGTAGGGTGTCGGGCACGTACGTCCTGTCAGCTCTCAACGAACACCGGACTTGGGATGCCGACTATCCAAGCCACATGCATACCCGAGCATGGGCTACGCGGGCTTGGACATACCAAGAAGATCTCATGTCTACTCGAGTATTGTACTTTGACAATCATACGTCCTACTTTCGTTGTCAAACGGAACGACGTCTCGAACATAGCAGCAAGGTATACGACAACGTCCAAAGCTGGCATCATCTGCTCTCACCAGCGCCTGAAGATATACCTTACAATGAGGTGAAAGAGAGAAGGGAAAGCCTCTATGAGAGATGGAAAGATCTAATAATTGAGTATACCAGACGAAAGCTGACGGTTTCCAATGACAAGTTTTCAGCTTTGTCTGGATTAGCCCGTACTTTCAGCTCAGCGCTTGAAGACGAATATGTAGCTGGACTTTGGAAAAATGATTTGGTACGTGGAATGCTTTGGAACACTGTCATGCAGCCTTCGAAACCGAAAGCGTGGAGGGCGCCATCCTGGAGCTGGGCATCTAGTGACGCAGAAATCGCATGGGATTTGCGATTCTCACTACCGCTCATTCAGAAGTGCAGTATTGAGAATATCCACATCGAAACCGCGGGCTCAGATCCGTTTGGAAGACTTGAGAGCGCTTGGATCGAGCTCTGCGCTGTCTGTGTTCCAGTGGTTTTGCGACCGGTACAGCAGGCCGAGAGTGATCAGGACACATATCTTGCAGAAGTCCTCTTCTATGAAGGTGGGAAGATCATGGCCCACGGATCTCTTGATGCTGTAGCACCCTCGGGGTTAAGGAATGATGGCACTTTCAAGCTGGCTGATTTTGGACAAGCTGATGAGATTGCCGACGTATCTGCGGTCGTTCTCGCGTCGCGCTGCGTCATCTTTGGTCTTGATAGGAGCTCAGGCGAGAGAAAGTTTTCATCACCATCATTCCCAACTGGGCTTTTGGTGAAGAGCAGTCCAGAGCAAGGAGAGAATGTTGGATCACTCCCAATCTACAAACGACTCGGGACCTTCAGAACGGAGACGGAGGAGCAGACGGAAGCGTGGCTGACGCTAACTCAGTCTCGCCTGAAACTGATATGAATCCTCGTAGGGGTACTATAATGAGATTCTAATCATTGCGCTTTCTTACAATTCATAAGACACCACAGAGGAGAAGACAAAGTATCAAGATCAACT